TGGGCGGTCCAGGATCCGAGTAACATTGCTTCACATTTTATACCGGTACGGATTTCGCAGCTTCCCGGGCTCACAAACGCCCTTATATAGGGACGGTGCTTCATGCGGCGGGCCCGTTTGAAGGCAAAAAGAGCTGGAATCTCGTCCCAAGGTATCTAGGATTGTGGCAAACACGATCGTGCTGGGCGGTCCAGGATCCGAGTAACATTGCTTCATATTTTATACCGGTACGGATTTCGCAGCTTCCCGGGCTCACAAACGCCCTTATATGGGGACGGTGCTTCATGCGGCGGGCCCGTTTGAAGGCAAAAAGAGCTGGAATCTCGTCCCAAGGTATCTAGGATTGTGGCAAACACGATCGTGCTGGGCGGTCCAGGATCCGAGTAACATTGCTTCACATTTTATACCGGTACGGATTTCGCAGCTTCCCGGGCTCACAAACGCCCTTATATGGGGACGGTTCTTCATGCGGCGGGCCCGTTTGAAGGCAAAAAGAGCTGGAATCTCGTCCCAAGGTATCTAGGATTGTGGCAAACACGATCGTGCTGGGCGGTCCAGGATCCGAGTAACATTGCTTCACATTTTATACCGGTACGGATTTCGCAGCTTCCCGGACTCACAAACGCCCTTATATGGGGACGGTTCTTCATGCGGCGGGCCCGTCTGAAGGCAAAAAGAGCCGGAATCTCGTCCCAAGGTATCTAGGATTGTGGCAAACACGATCGTGCTGGGCGGTCCAGGATCCGAGTAACATTGCTTCACATTTTATACCGGTACGGATTTCGCAGCTTCCCGGGCTCACAAACGCCCTTATATGGGGACGGTGCTTCATGCGGCGGGCCCGTTTGAAGGCAAAAAGAGCTGGAATCTCGTCCCAAGGTATCTAGGATTGTGGCAAACACGATCGTGCTGGGCGGTCCAGGATCCGAGTAACATTGCTTCACATTTTATACCGGTACGGATTTCGCAGCTTCCCGGACTCACAAACGCCCTTATATGGGGACGGTTCTTCATGCGGCGGGCCCGTCTGAAGGCAAAAAGAGCCGGAATCTCGTCCCAAGGTATCTAGGATTGTGGCAAACACGATCGTGCTGGGCGGTCCAGGATCCGAGTAACATTGCTTCACATTTTATACCGGTACGGATTTCGCAGCTTCCCGGGCTCACAAACGCCCTTATATGGGGACGGTGCTTCATGCGGCGGGCCCGTTTGAAGGCAAAAAGAGCTGGAATCTCGTCCCAAGGTATCTAGGATTGTGGCAAACACGATCGTGCTGGGCGGTCCAGGATCCGAGTAACATTGCTTCACATTTTATACCGGTACGGATTTCGCAGCTTCCCGGGCTCACAAACGCCCTTATATGGGGACGGTTCTTCATGCGGCGGGCCCGTTTGAAGGCAAAAAGAGCTGGAATCTCGTCCCAAGGTATCTAGGATTGTGGCAAACACGATCGTGCTGGGCGGTCCAGGATCCGAGTAACATTGCTTCACATTTTATACCGGTACGGATTTCGCAGCTTCCCGGGCTCACAAACGCCCTTATATGGGGACGGTGCTTCATGCGGCGGGCCCGTTTGAAGGCAAAAAGAGCTGGAATCTCGTCCCAAGGTATCTAGGATTGTGGCAAACACGATCGTGCTGGGCGGTCCAGGATCCGAGTAACATTGCTTCACATTTTATACCGGTACGGATTTCGCAGCTTCCCGGGCTCACAAACGCCCTTATATGGGGACGGTTCTTCATGCGGCAGGCCCGTCTGAAGGCAAAAAGAGCTGGAATCTCGTCCCAAGGTATCTAGGATTGTGGCAAACACGATCGTGCTGGGCGGTCCAGGATCCGAGTAACATTGCTTCACATTTTATACCGGTACGGATTTCGCAGCTTCCCGGGCTCACAAACGCCCTTATATGGGGACGGTTCTTCATGCGGAGGGCCCGTTTGAAGGCAAAAAGAGCTGGAATCTCGTCCCAAGGTATCTAGGATTGTGGCAAACACGATCGTGCTGGGCGGTCCAGGATCCGAGTAACATTGCTTCACATTTTATACCGGTACGGATTTCGCAGCTTCCCGGGCTCACAAACGCCCTTATATGGGGACGGTGCTTCATGCGGCGGGCCCGTTTGAAGGCAAAAAGAGCTGGAATCTCGTCCCAAGGTATCTAGGATTGTGGCAAACACGATCGTGCTGGGCGGTCCAGGATCCGAGTAACATTGCTTCATATTTTATACCGGTACGGATTTCGCAGCTTCCCGGGCTCACAAACGCCCTTATATGGGGACGGTGCTTCATGCGGCGGGCCCGTTTGAAGGCAAAAAGAGCTGGAATCTCGTCCCAAGGTATCTAGGATTGTGGCAAACACGATCGTGCTGGGCGGTCCAGGATCCGAGTAACATTGCTTCACATTTTATACCGGTACGGATTTCGCAGCTTCCCGGGCTCACAAACGCCCTTATATGGGGACGGTTCTTCATGCGGCGGGCCCGTTTGAAGGCAAAAAGAGCTGGAATCTCGTCCCAAGGTATCTAGGATTGTGGCAAACACGATCGTGCTGGGCGGTCCAGGATCCGAGTAACATTGCTTCACATTTTATACCGGTACGGATTTCGCAGCTTCCCGGGCTCACAAACGCCCTTATATGGGGACGGTGCTTCATGCAGCGGGCCCGTTTGAAGGCAAAAAGAGCTGGAATCTCGTCCCAAGGTATCTAGGATTGTGGCAAACACGATCGTGCTGGGCGGTCCAGGATCCGAGTAACATTGCTTCACATTTTATACCGGTACGGATTTCGCAGCTTCCCGGGCTCACAAACGCCCTTATATGGGGACGGTGCTTCATGCAGCGGGCCCGTTTGAAGGCAAAAAGAGCTGGAATCTCGTCCCAAGGTATCTAGGATTGTGGCAAACACGATCGTGCTGGGCGGTCCAGGATCCGAGTAACATTGCTTCACATTTTATACCGGTACGGATTTCGCAGCTTCCCGGGCTCACAAACGCCCTTATATGGGGACGGTTCTTCATGCGGCAGGCCCGTCTGAAGGCAAAAAGAGCTGGAATCTCGTCCCAAGGTATCTAGGATTGTGGCAAACACGATCGTGCTGGGCGGTCCAGGATCCGAGTAACATTGCTTCACATTTTATACCGGTACGGATTTCGCAGCTTCCCGGGCTCACAAACGCCCTTATATGGGGACGGTTCTTCATGCGGCGGGCCCGTCTGAAGGCAAAAAGAGCCGGAATCTCGTCCCAAGGTATCTAGGATTGTGGCAAACACGATCGTGCTGGGCGGTCCAGGATCCGAGTAACATTGCTTCACATTTTATACCGGTACGGATTTCGCAGCTTCCCGGGCTCACAAACGCCCTTATATGGGGACGGTTCTTCATGCGGAGGGCCCGTTTGAAGGCAAAAAGAGCTGGAATCTCGTCCCAAGGTATCTAGGATTGTGGCAAACACGATCGTGCTGGGCGGTCCAGGATCCGAGTAACATTGCTTCACATTTTATACCGGTACGGATTTCGCAGCTTCCCGGGCTCACAAACGCCCTTATATGGGGACGGTTCTTCATGCGGCGGGCCCGTTTGAAGGCAAAAAGAGCTGGAATCTCGTCCCAAGGTATCTAGGATTGTGGCAAACATGATCGTGCTGGGCGGTCCAGGATCCGAGTAACATTGCTTCACATTTTATACCGGTACGGATTTCGCAGCTTCCCGGGCTCACAAACGCCCTTATATGGGGACGGTTCTTCATGCGGCGGGCCCGTCTGAAGGCAAAAAGAGCCGGAATCTCGTCCCAAGGTATCTAGGATTGTGGCAAACACGATCGTGCTGGGCGGTCCAGGATCCGAGTAACATTGCTTCACATTTTATACCGGTACGGATTTCGCAGCTTCCCGGGCTCACAAACGCCCTTATATGGGGACGGTTCTTCATGCGGCGGGCCCGTCTGAAGGCAAAAAGAGCCGGAATCTCGTCCCAAGGTATCTAGGATTGTGGCAAACACGATCGTGCTGGGCGGTCCAGGATCCGAGTAACATTGCTTCACATTTTATACCGGTACGGATTTCGCAGCTTCCCGGGCTCACAAACGCCCTTATATGGGGACGGTTCTTCATGCGGAGGGCCCGTTTGAAGGCAAAAAGAGCTGGAATCTCGTCCCAAGGTATCTAGGATTGTGGCAAACACGATCGTGCTGGGCGGTCCAGGATCCGAGTAACATTGCTTCACATTTTATACCGGTACGGATTTCGCAGCTTCCCGGGCTCACAAACGCCCTTATATGGGGACGGTTCTTCATGCGGCGGGCCCGTTTGAAGGCAAAAAGAGCTGGAATCTCGTCCCAAGGTATCTAGGATTGTGGCAAACATGATCGTGCTGGGCGGTCCAGGATCCGAGTAACATTGCTTCACATTTTATACCGGTACGGATTTCGCAGCTTCCCGGGCTCACAAACGCCCTTATATGGGGACGGTTCTTCATGCGGCGGGCCCGTCTGAAGGCAAAAAGAGCCGGAATCTCGTCCCAAGGTATCTAGGATTGTGGCAAACACGATCGTGCTGGGCGGTCCAGGATCCGAGTAACATTGCTTCACATTTTATACCGGTACGGATTTCGCAGCTTCCCGGGCTCACAAACGCCCTTATATGGGGACGGTTCTTCATGCGGCGGGCCCGTCTGAAGGCAAAAAGAGCTGGAATCTCGTCCCAAGGTATCTAGGATTGTGGCAAACACGATCGTGCTGGGCGGTCCAGGATCCGAGTAACATTGCTTCACATTTTATACCGGTATGGATTTCGCAGCTTCCCGGGCTCACAAACGCCCTTATATGGGGACGGTGCTTCATGCGGCGGGCCCGTTTGAAGGCAAAAAGAGCTGGAATCTCGTCCCAAGGTATCTAGGATTGTGACAAACACGATCGTGCTGGGCGGTCCAGGATCCGAGTAACATTGCTTCACATTTTATACCGGTACGGATTTCGCAGCTTCCCGGGCTCACAAACGCCCTTATATGGGGACGGTTCTTCATGCGGCGGGCCCGTCTGAAGGCAAAAAGAGCCGGAATCTCGTCCCAAGGTATCTAGGATTGTGGCAAACACGATCGTGCTGGGCGGTCCAGGATCCGAGTAACATTGCTTCACATTTAACACATTTGACTTCCATCACCCGCCCCATTCTCCCGCTTTCCATCACCTCGCCCCATTCTCCCGCTTTCCATCACCCCGCCCCATTCTTCTGCTTTCCATCACCCCGCCCCATTCTCCCGCTTTCCATCACCCTGCCCCATTCACCCGCTTTCCATCACCCTCCCCATTCTCCCGCTTTCCATCATCCCGCCCCATTCTCCCGCTTTCCATCACCCTGCCCCATTCTCCCGCTTTTCATCACCCCGCCCCATTCTCCCGCTTTCCATCACCCCGCCCCATTCTCCCGCTTTCCATCACTCCGCCCCATTCTCCTGCTTTCCATCACCCCGCCCCATTCTCCCGCTTTCCATCACCCCGCCCCATTCTCCCTCCTTCCATCACCCCGCCTCATTCTCCCGCTTCCCATCATCCCGCCCCATTCCCCCGCTTTCCATCACCTCTCCCTCCTTCCATCACCCCGCCCCATTCTCCCGCTTTCCATCACCCCACCCCATTCTCCCGCTTTCTATCACCCCACCCCATTCTCCCGCTTTCCATCACCCCGCCCCATTGTCCCGCTTTCCATCACCCCGCCCCATTGTCCCGCTTTCCATCACCCCGCCCCATTCTCCCACTTTCCATCACCCAAGCCTATTCTCCCGTTTTCCATCTCCCCGCCCCATTCTCCCGCTTTCCATCACCCCGCTCCATTCTCCCGCTTTCCATCACCCCGCCCCATTCTCCCTCTTTCGATCGCCCCACCCCATTCTCCCTCCTTCCATCACCCCGCCCCATTCTCCCTCCTTCCATCACCCCGCCCCATTCTCCCTCCTTCCATCACCCCGCCCCATTCTCCCGCTTTCCATCACCCCGCCCCATTCTCCCGCTTTCCATCACCCCGCCCCAATCTCCCGCTTTCCATCACCCCGCCCCATTCTCCCGCTTTCCATCACCCCGCCCCAGTCTCCTGCTTTCCATCACCCTGCCCCATTCACCCGCTTTCCGTCACCCCGCCCCATTCTCCCGCTATCCATCACCCCGCCCCATTCTCCCGCTTTCCATCACCCTGCCCCATTCTCCCGCTTTCCATCACCCCGCCCCATTCTCCCGCTTTCCATCACCCCGCCTCATTCTCCCGCTTCCCATCATCCCGACCCATTCCCCCGCTTTCCATCACCTCTCCCTCCTTCCATCACCCCGCCCCATTCTCCCGCTTTCCATCACCCCGCCGCATTCTCCCGCTTTCCATCACCTCGCCCCATTCTCCCGCTTTCCATCACCCAGCCCCATTCTTCCGCTTTCCATCACCCCGCCCCATTCACCCGCTTTCCATCACCCCACCCCATTCTCCCGCTTTCTATCACCCCGCCCCATTCTCCCGCTTTCCATCACCCCACCCCATTCTCCCGCTTTCAATCACCCCGCCCCATTCTCCCGCTTTCCATCACCCCACCCCATTCTCCCGCTTTCCATCACCCCTTCCCATTCTCCCGCTTTCCATCACCCCGCCCCATTCTCCCGCTTTCCATCACCCCGCCCCATTCTCCCGCTTCCCATCACCCCGCCCCATTCTCCCGCTTTCCATCACCCTGCCCCATTCTCCCGCTTTCCATCACCCCGCCCCATTCTCCCTCCTTCCATCACCCCGCCTCATTCTCCCTCCTTCCATCACCCCGCCCCATTCTCCCGCTTTCCATTACCCCGCCCCATTCTCCCTCTTTCCATCACCCCGCCCCATTCTCCCTCTTTCCATCACCCCGCCCCATTCTTCCGCTTCCCATCATCCCGCCCCATTCCCCCGCTTTCCATCACCCCTCCCCATTCTCCCTCCTTCCATCACCCCGCCCCATTCTCCCGCTTTCCATTACCACGCCCCATTCTCCCGCTTTCCATCACCCCGCCCCATTCTCCCGCTTTCCATCACCCCGCCCCATTCTCCCGCTTCCCATCATCCCGCCCCATTCCCCCGCTTTCCATCACCCCTCCCCATTCTCCCTCCTTCCATCACCCCGCCCCATTCTCCCGCTTTCCATCACCCGCCCCATTCTCCCGCTTTCCATCACCTCGCCCCATTCTCCCGCTTTCCATCACCTCGCCCCATTCTTCTGCTTTCCATCACCCCGCCCCATTCTCCCGCTTTCAATCACCCCGCCCCATTCACCCGCATTCCATAACCCGCCCCATTCTCCCGCTTTCCATCACCCCGCCCCGTTCTCCCGCTTTACCTCACCCCGCCCCATCCTCCCGCTTTTCATCACCCCGCCCCATTCTCCCGCTTTCCAACACCCCGCCCCGTTCTCCCGCTTTCCATCACCCCGCCCCATTCTCCCGCTTTCCATCACCCCGCCCCATTCTCCCGCTTTCCATCACTCCGCCCCATTCTCCCGCTTTCCATCACCCCGCCCCATTCTCCCGCTTTCCATCAACCCGCCCCATTCTCCCTCCTTCCATCACCCTGCCTCATTCTCCCTCCTTCCATCACCCCGCCCCATTCTCCCGCTTTCCATCACCCCGCCCCATTCTCCTGCTTTCCATCACCCAGCCCCATTCTTGCGCTTTCCATCACCCCGCCCCATTTTCCCGCTTTCCATCACCCCGCCCCATTCTCCCGCTTTCCATCAACCTGCCCCAATCTCCCGCTTTCCATCACCCCGCCCCATTCTCCCTCCTTCCATCACCCCGCCCCATTCTCCCTCCTTCCATCACCCCGCCCCATTCTCCCGCTTTCCATAACCCCGCCCCATTCTCCCTCCTTTCATCACCCGCCCCATTCTCGCTCCTTCCATCACCCCGCCCCATTCTCCCTCCTTCCATCACCCCGCCCCATTCTCCCACTTTCCATCGGCCCGCCCCATTCTCCCGCTTTCCATCACCCCGCCCCATTCTCCCGCTTTCCATCACCCCGCCCCATTCTCCCGCTTTCCATCAGCCCACCCCATTCTCCCGCTTTCCATCACCCCGCCCCATTCTCCCGCTTTCCATCACCCTGCCCCATTCTCCCTCCTTCCATCACCCCGCCTCATTCTACCTCCTTCCATCACCCCGCCCCATTCTCCCGCTTTCCATCACCTCGCCCCATTCTCCCGCTTTCCATCACCCCGCCCCATTCCTCTGCTTTTGATCACCCCACCCCATTCTCCCGCTTTCCATCACCCCGCCCCATTCACCCGCTTTCCATCACCCGCCCCATTCGCCCGCTTTCCATCACCCCGCCCCAGTCTCCCGCTTTCCATCACCCCGCCCCATTCTCCCGCTTTTCAACACCCCGCCCCATTCTCCCGCTTTCCATCACCTCGCCCCATTCTCCCTCCTTCCATCACTCCGCCCCATTCTCCCGCTTTCCATCACCCCGCCCCATTCACCCGCTTTCCATCACCCGCCCCATTCGCCCGCTTTCCATCACCCCGCCCCAGTCTCCCGCTTTCCATCACCCCGCCCCATTCTCCCACTTTCCATCGGCCCGCCCCATTCTCCCGCTTTCCATCACCCCGCCCCATTCTCCCGCTTTCCATCATCCCGCCCCATTCTCCCGCTTTCCATCAGCCCACCCCATTCTCCCGCTTTCCATCACCCCGCCCCATTCTCCCGCTTTCCATCACCCTGCCCCATTCTCCCTCCTTCCATCACCCCGCCTCATTCTACCTCCTTCCATCACCCCGCCCCATTCTCCCGCTTTCCATCACCTCGCCCCATTCTCCCGCTTTCCATCACCCCGCCCCATTCCTCTGCTTTTGATCACCCCACCCCATTCTCCCGCTTTCCATCACCCCGCCCCATTCACCCGCTTTCCATCACCCGCCCCATTCGCCCGCTTTCCATCACCCCGCCCCAGTCTCCCGCTTTCCATCACCCCGCCCCATTCTCCCGCTTTTCAACACCCCGCCCCATTCTCCCGCTTTCCATCACCTCGCCCCATTCTCCCTCCTTCCATCACTCCGCCCCATTCTCCCGCTTTCCATCACCCCGCCCCATTCTCCCGCTTTCCATCACCCCGCCCCATTCTCCCGCTTTCCTTCACCTCGCCCCATTCACCCGCTTTCCATCACCCGCCCCATTCTCCCACTTTCCATCACCCCGCCCCATTCTCCCGCTTTTCATCACCCCGCCCCATTCTCCCGCTTTCCATCACCCCGCCCCATTCTCCCGCTTTCCATCACTCCGCCCCATTCTCCCGCTTTCCCTCACCCCGCCCCATTCTCCCGCTTTCCATCACCCCGCCCCATTCTCCCTCCTTCCATCGCCCCGCCTCATTCTCCCGCTTCCCATCATCCCGCCCCATTCCCCCGCTTTCCATCACCTCTCCCTCCTTCCATCACCCTGCCCCATTCTCCCGCTTTCCATCACCCCACCCCATTCTCCCGCTTTCTATCACCCCACCCCATTCTCCCGCTTTCCATCACCCCGCCCCATTGTCCCGCTTTCCATCACCCCGCCCCATTGTCCCGCTTTCCATCACCCCGCCCCATTCTCCCACTTTCCATCACCCCAGCCTATTCTCCCGCTTTCCATCTCCCCGCCCCATTCTCCCGCTTTCCATCACCCCGCTCCATTCTCCCGCTTTCCATCACCCCGCCCCATTCTCCCTCTTTCGATCGCCCCACCCCATTCTCCCTCCTTCCATCACCCCGCCCCATTCTCCCTCCTTCCATCACCCCGCCCCATTCTCCCTCCTTCCATCACCCCGCCCCATTCTCCCGCTTTCCATCACCCCGCCCCATTCTCCAGCTTTCCATCACCCCGCCCCAATCTCCCGCTTTCCATCACCCCGCCCCATTCTCCCGCTTTCCATCACCCTGCCCCAGTCTCCTGCTTTCCATCACCCTGCCCCATTCACCCGCTTTCCGTCACCCCGCCCCATTCTCCCGCTTTCCATCACCCCGCCCCATTCTCCCGCTTTCCATGACCCTGCCCCATTCTCCCGCTTTCCATCACCCCGCCCCATTCTCCCGCTTTCCATCACCCCGCCTCATTCTCCCGCTTCCCATCATCCCGCCCCATTCCCCCGCTTTCCATCACCTCTCCCTCCTTCCATCACCCCGCCCCATTCTCCCGCTTTCCATCACCCCGCCGCATTCTCCCGCTTTCCATCACCTCGCCCCATTCTCCCGCTTTCCATCACCCAGCCCCATTCTTCCGCTTTCCATCACCCCGCCCCATTCACCCGCTTTCCATCACCCCACCCCATTCTCCCGCTTTCTATCACCCCGCCCCATTCTCCCGCTTTCCATCACCCCGCCCCATTCTCCCGCTTTCAATCACCCCGCCCCATTCTCCCGCTTTCCATCACCCCACCCCATTCTCCCGCTTTCCATCACCCCGTCCCATTCTCCCGCTTTCCATCACCCCGCCCCATTCTCCCGCTTTCCATCACCCCACCCCATTCTCCCGCTTCCCATCACCCCGCCCCATTCTCCCGCTTTCCATCACCCCGCCCCATTCTCCCTCCTTCCATCACCCCGCCTCATTCTCCCTCCTTCCATCACCCCGCCCCATTCTCCCGCTTTCCATTACCCCGCCCCATTCTCCCGCTTTCCATCACCCCGCCCCATTCTCCCTCTTTCCATCACCCCGCCCCATTCTCCCGCTTTCCATAACCCCACCCCATTCTCCTGCTTTCCATCACCCCGCCCCATTCTCCTTCTTTCCATCACCCCGCCCCATTCTCCCTCCTTCCATCACCCCGCCCCATTCTCCCCTCTTCCATCACCCCACCTCATTCTCCCTCCTTCCATCACCCCGCCCCATTCTCCCGCTTTCCATCACCCCGCCCCATTCTCCCGCTTTCCATCACCCCGCCCCATTCTCCCGCTTTCCATCACCCTGCCCCATTCTCCCGCTTTCCATCACCCTGCCCCGTTCTCCAGCTTTCCATCACCCTGCCCCATTCTCCCGCTTTCCATCACCTTGCCCCATTCTCCCGCTATCCATCACCCCGCCCCATTCTCCCTCCTTCCATCACCCCGCCCCATTCTCCCTCCTTCCATCAACCCGCCCCATTCTCCCTCCTTCCATCACCCCGCCCCATTCTCCCTCCTTCCATTACCCCACCCCATTCTCCCGCTTTACATCAGCCCGCCCCATTCTCCCGCTTTCCATCACCCCGCCCCATTCTCCCGCTTTCCATCACCTCACCCCATTCTCCCGCTTTACATCACCCCGCCCCATTCTCCCGCTTTCCATCACCCCGCCCCATTCTCCCGCTTTCCATCACCTCGCCTTATTTTCCCGCTTTTTATCACCCCGCCGTAATTCTCCCGCTTTCCATCACCCCGCCTGATTCTCCCTCCTTCCATCACCCCACACCATTCTCCCGCTTTCCATCACCCCGCCCCATTCTCCTGCTTTCCCCGCCCCATTCTCCTGCTTTCCATCACCCCTCCCCATTCTCCCGCTTTCCATCACCCCACCCCATTCTCCCGCTTTCCATCACCCCGCCCCATTCTCCCTCCTTCCATGACCCCGCCCCATTTTCCCTCCTTCCATCACCCCGCCCAATTCTCCTGCTTTCCATCACCCCGCCCCATTCTCCCGCTATCCATCACCCCGCCCCATTCTCCCTCCTTCCATCACCACGCCCCATTCTCCCTCCTTCCATGACCCCGCCCCATTCTCCCTCCTTCCATCACCCCGCCCCATTCTCCCTCCTTCCATCACCGTGCCCCATTCTCCCGCTTTACATCAGCCCGCCCCATTCTCCCGCTTTCCATCACCCCGCCCCATTCTCCCGCTTTCCATCACCCCGCCCCATTCTCCCGCTTTCCATCACCTCGCCTTATTTTCCCGCTTTTTATCACCCCGCCCCATTCTCCCGCTTTCTATCACCCGTCCCCATTCTCCCTCCTTCCATCACCCCGCCCCATTCTCCCGCTTTCCATCACCCCGCCCCATTCTCCCGCTTTCCATCACCTCGCCCCATTTTCCCGCTTTTTATCACCCCGCCCCATTCTCCCGCTTTCCATCACCCCGCCTGATTCTCCCTCCTTCCATCACCCCACACCATTCTCCCGCTTTCCATCACCCCGCCCCATTCTCCTGCTTTCCCCGCCCCATTCTCCTGCTTTCCATCACCCCTCCCCATTCTCCCACTTTCCATCACCCCACCCCATTCTCCCGCTTTCCATCACCCCGCCCCATTCTCCCTCCTTCCATGACCCCGCCCCATTCACCCTCCTTCCATCACCCTGCCCAATTCTCCCGCTTTCCATCACCCCGCCCCATTCTCCCGCCCCATTCTCCCTCCTTCCATCACCACGCCCGATTCTCCCTCCTTCCATCACCCCGCCCCATTCTCCCTCCTTCCATCACCCCGCCCCATTCTCCCTCCTTCCATCACCGTGCCCCATTCTCCCGCTTTACATCAGCCTGCCCCATTCTCCCGCTTTCCATCACCCCGCCCCATTCTCCCGATTTCCATCACCCCGCCCCATTCACCCGCTTTCTATCACCCCGCCCCATTCTCCCGCTTTCCATCACCCCGCCCCATTCTCCCGCTTTCCATCACCCCGCCCCATTCTCCCGCTTTCCATCACCCTGCCCCATTCTCCCGCTTTCCATCACCCCGCCTCATTCTCCCGCTTCCCATCATCCCGCCCCATTCCCCCGCTTTCCATCACCTCTCCCTCCTTCCATCACCCCGCCCCATTCTCCCGCTTTCTATCACCCGTCCCCATTCTCCCTCCTTCCATCACCCCGCCCCATTCTCCCACTTTCCATCACCCCGCCCCATTCTCCCGCTTTCCATCACCTCGCCCCATTCTCCCGCTTTTTATCACCCCGCCCCATTCTCCCGCTTTCCATCACCCCGCCCGATTCTCCCTCCTTCCATCACCCCACACAATTATCCCGCTTTCCATCACTTCGCCCCATTCTCCTGCTTTCCATCACCCCTCCCCATTCTCCCGCTTTCCATCACCCCGCCCCATTCTCCCGCTTTCCATCACCCCGCCCCATTCTCCCGCTTTCCATCACCCCGCCCCATTCTCCCGCTTTCCCTCACCCCGCCCCATTCTCCAGCTTTCCATCACCCCGCCCCATTCTCCCGCTTCCCATCAACCCGACCCATTCTCCCGCTTTCTATCACCCGTCCCCATTCTTCCTCCTTCCATCACCCCGCCCCATTCTCCTGCTTTCCATCACCCCGCCCCATTCTCCCGCTTTCCATCACCTTGCCCCATTCTCCCACTTTTTATCACCCCGCCCCATTCTCCCGCTTTCCATCGCCCCGCCCGATTCTCCCTCCTTCCATCACCCCACACCATTCTCCCGCATTCTATCACCCCGTCCCATTCTCCTGCTTTCCATCACCCCGCCCCATTCTCTTGCTTACTATCAACCCGCCCCATTCTCCCGCTTTCCATCATCCGTCCCCATTCTCCCTCCTTCCATCACCCCGCCCCATTCTCCCGCTTTCCATCACCCCGCCCCATTCTCCCCCTTTCCATCACCTCGCCCCATTCTCCTGCTTTTTATCACCCCACCCCATTCTTCCGCTTTCCATCACCCCGCCCCATTCTCCTGCTTTCCATCACCCCTCCCCATTCTCCCGCTTTCCATCACCCCGCCCCATTCTCCCGCTTTCCATCACCCCGCCCCATTCTCCCGCTTTCCATCACCCCGCCCCATTCTCCCGCTTTCCCTCACCCCGCCCCATTCTCCAGCTTTCCATCACCGCGCCCTATTCTGCCGCTTCCCATCAACCCGCCCCATTCTCCCGCTTTCTATCACCCGTCCCCATTCTATCTCCTTCCATCACCGCGCCCCATTCTCCCGCTTTCCATCACCCCGCCCCATTCTCCCGCTTTCCATCACCTCGCCCCATTCTCCCGCTTTTTATCACCCCGCCCCATTCTCCCGCTTTCCATCGCCCCGCCCCATTCTCCCTCTTTCCATCACCCCGCCCCATTCTCCCTCTTTCCATTACCCCGCCCCATTCTCCTGCTTTCCATCACCCCGCCCCATTCTCCCTCTTTCCATCACCCCGCCCCATTCTCCCGCTTTCTATCACCCCACCCCATTCTCCCGCTTTCCGTCACCCCGCCCCATTCTCCCTCTTTCCATCACCCCGCCCCAATCTCCCGCCTTTCATCACCCCACCCCATTCTCCCGCTTTCCATCACCCTGCCCAATTCTCCCTCTTTCCATCACCCCGCCCCATTCCCGCCTTCCATCACCCCGCCCCATTCTCCCTCTTTCCATCACCCCGCCCCATTCTCACGCTTTCCATCACCCCGCCCCATTTTCCCTCTTTCCATCACAACGCCCCATACTCCCGCGTTCCATCACCCCGCCCCATTCTCCCTCTATCCATCACCCCGCCCAATTCTCCCACTTTCCATCACCCCGTCCCATTCTCCCGTTTTCCATCACCCCGCCCCATTCTCTCGCTTTCCATCACCCCGCCTTATTCTCCCGCTTTCCATCACCCCGCCCCATCCTAACGATTTCCATCACCCCGCCCCATTCTCCCGCTTTCCATCACCCCGCCCCATTCTCCCACTTTCCATCACCCCGCCCCATTCTCCCGCTTTCCAACACCCTGACCCATTCTCCCGCTTTCCTTCACCCCGCACCATTCTCCCTCTTTCCATCACCCCGCCCCATTCTCCCTCTTTCCATCACCCCGCCCCATTCTCCCGCTTTCCATCACCCCGCGCCATTTTCCCTCTTTCCATCACCCCGCCCCATTCTCCCGCTTTCCATCACCCTGCCCCATTCTCCCGCTTTCCATCACCCCGCTCCATTGTCCCGCTTTCCATCACCCCGCCCAATTCTCCCTCTTTCCATCACCCCTCCCCATTCTCCCTCTTTCCATCACCCCGCCCCATTCTCCCGCTTTCCATCACCCCGCCCCATTCTCCCTCTTTCCATCACCCCGCCCCATTCTCCCTCTTTCCATTACCCCGCCCCATTCTCCTGCTTTCCATCACCCCGCCCCATTCTCCCTCTTTCCATCACCCCGCCCCATTCTCCCGCTTTCTATCACCCCACCCCATTCTCCCGCTTTCCATCACCCCGTCCCGTTCTCCCTCTTTCCATCACCCCGCCCCATTCTCCCGCCTTTCATCACCCCGCCCCATTCTCCCGCATTCCATCACCCCGCCCCATTCTCCCGCCTTCCATCACCCTGCCCCATTCTCCCTCTTTCCATCACCCCGCCCCATTCTCACGCTTTCCATCACCCCGCCCCATTCTCCCTCTTTCCATCACCCGCCCCATTCTCCCGCTTTCCATCACCCCGCCCCATTCTCCCTCTATCCATCACCCCTCCCAATTCTCCCACTTTCCATCACCCCGTCCCATTCTCCCGTTTTCCATCACCCCGCCCCATTCTCTCGCTTTCCATCACCCCGCCTTATTCTCCCACTTTCCATCACCCCGCCCCATTCTCCCGATTTCCATCACCCCGCCCCATTCTCCCGCTTTCCATCACCTCGCCCCATTCTTCCGCTTTCCATCACCCCGCCCCATTCTCCCGCTTTCCAACACCTCGCCCCATTCTCCCGCTTTCCATCACCCCGCCCCATTCTCACTCTTTCCATCACCCCGCCCCATTCTCCCTCTTTTCATCACCCCGCCCCATTCTCCCGCTTTCCATCACCCCGCCCCATTCTCCCTCTTTCCATAACCCCGCCCCATTCTCCCGCTTTCCATCACCCCGCCCCATTCTCCCTCTTTCCATCACCCCGCCCCATTCTCCCTCTTTCCATCACCCCGCCCCATTCTCCCGCTTTCCATCACCCCGCCCCATTCTCCCTCTTTCCATAACCCCGCCCCATTCTCCCGCTTTCCATCACCCCGCCCCATTCCCGCCTTCCATCACCCCGCCCCATTCTCCCTCTTTCCATCACCCCGCCCCATTCTCACGCTTTCCATCACCCCGCCCCATTTTCCCTCTTTCCATCACAACGCCCCATACTCCCGCGTTCCATCACCCCGCCCCATTCTCCCTCTATCCATCACCCCGCCCAATTCTCCCACTTTCCATCACCCCGTCCCATTCTCCCGTTTTCCATCACCCCGCCCCATTCTCTCGCTTTCCATCACCCCGCCTTATTCTCCCGCTTTCCATCACCCCGCCCCATCCTAACGATTTCCATCACCCCGCCCCATTCTCCCGCTTTCCATCACCCCGCCCCATTCTCCCACTTTCCATCACCCCGCCCTATTCTCCCGCTTTCCAACACCCCGACCCATTCTCCCGCTTTCCTTCACCCCGCACCATTCTCCCTCTTTCCATCACCCCGCCCCATTCTCCCTCTTTCCATCACCCCGCCCCATTCTCCCGCTTTCCATCACCCCGCGCCATTTTCCCTCTTTCCATCACCCCGCCCCATTCTCCCGCTTTCCATCACCCTGCCCCATTCTCCCGCTTTCCATCACCCCGCTCCATTGTCCCGCTTTCCATCACCCCGCCCAATTCTCCCTCTTTCCATCACCCCTCCCCATTCTCCCTCTTTCCATCACCCCGCCCCATTCTCCCGCTTTCCATCACCCCGCCCCATTCTCCCTCTTTCCATCACCCCGCCCCATTCTCCCTCTTTCCATTACCCCGCCCCATTCTCCTGCTTTCCATCACCCCGCCCCATTCTCCCTCTTTCCATCACCCCGCCCCATTCTCCTGCTTTCTATCACCCCACCCCATTCTCCCGCTTTCCATCACCCCGTCCCGTTCTCCCTCTTTCCATCACCCCGCCCCATTCTCCCGCCTTTCATCACCCCGCCCCATTCTCCCGCATTCCATCACCCCGCCCCATTCTCCCGCCTTCCATCACCCTGCCCCATTCTCCCTCTTTCCATCACCCCGCCCCATTCTCACGCTTTCCATCACCCCGCCCCATTCTCCCTCTTTCCATCACCCGCCCCATTGTCCCGCTTTCCATCACCCCGCCCCATTCTCCCTCTATCCATCACCCCTCCCAATTCTCCCACTTTCCATCACCCCGTCCCATTCTCCCGTTTTCCATCACCCCGCCCCATTCTCTCGCTTTCCATCACCCCACCTTATTCTCCCACTTTCCATCACCCCGCCCCATTCTCCCGATTTCCATCACCCCGCCCCATTCTCCCGCTTTCCATCACCTCGCCCCATTCTTCCGCTTTCCATCACCCCGCCCCATTCTCCCGCTTTCCAACACCTCGCCCCATTCTCCCGCTTTCCATCACCCCGCCCCATTCTCACTCTTTCCATCACCCCGCCCCATTCTCCCTCTTTTCATCACCCCGCCCCATTCTCCCGCTTTCCATCACCCCGCCCCATTCTCCCTCTTTCCATAACCCCGCCCCATTCTCCCGCTTTCCATCACCCCGCCCCATTCTCCCTCTTTCCATCACCCCGCCCCATTCTCCCTCTTTCCATCACCCCGCCCCATTCTCCCGCTTTCCATCACCCCGCCCCATTCTCCCTCTTTCCATAACCCCGCCCCATTCTCCCGCTTTCCATCACCCCGCCCCATTCTCCCTCTTTCCATCACCCCGCCCCGTTCTCCCGCTTTCCATCGCCCCGCCCCATTCTCCCGCTTTCCATCACCCCGCCCCATTCTCCTGCTTTCCATCACCCCGCCCCATTCTCCCTCTTTCCATCACCCCGCCCCATTCTCCCGCTTTCCATCACCCCGCCCCATTCTACCGCTTTCCATCATCCCGCTCCATTGTCCCGCTTTCCATCACCCCGCCCAATTCTCCCTCTTTCCATCACCCCTCCCCATTCTCCCTTTTTCCATAACCCCGCCCCATTCTCCCGCTTTCCATCACCCCGCCCCATTCTACCGCTTTCCATCACCCCGCCCCATTCTCCCTCTTTCCATCACCCCGCCCCATTCTCCCGCTTTCCATCACCCCGCCCCATTCTACCGCTTTCCATCATCCCGCTCCATTGTCCCGCTTTCCATCACCCCGCCCAATTCTCCCTCTTTCCATCACCCCTCCCCATTCTCCCTTTTTCCATAACCCCGCCCCATTCTCCCGCTTTCCATCACCCCGCCCCATGCTACCGCTTTCCATCACCCCGCCCCATTCTCCCTCTTTCCATCACCCCGCCCCATTCTCCCGCTTTCCATCACCCCGCCCCATTCTCCCTCTATCCATCACCCCGCCCAATTCTCCCACTTTCCATCACCCCGTCCCATTCTCCCGTTTTCCATCACCCCGCCTTATTCTCCCGCTTTCCATCACCCTGCCCCATTCTCCCGATTTCCATCACCCCGCCCCATTCTCCCGCTTTCCATCACCTCGCCCCATTCTCCCGCTTTCCATCACCCCGCCCCATTCTCCCGCTTTCCAACACCTCGCCCCATTCTCCCGCTTTCCATCACCCGCCCCATTCTCACTCTTTCCATCACCCCGCCCCATTCTCCCTCTTTCCATCACCCCGCCCCATTCTCCCGCTTTCCATCACCCCGCCCCATTCTCCCGCTTTCCATCACCTCGGCCCATTCTCCTGCTTTCCATCACCCCGTCCCATTCTTCCTCTTTCCATCACCCCGCCCCATTCTCCCGCTTTCCATCACCCCGCCCCATTCTTCCTCTTTCCATCTCCCCGCCCCATTCTCCCTCTTTCCATCACCCCGCCCCATTCTCCCTCTTTCCATCACCCCGCCCCATTCTCCCTCTTTCCATCACCCCGCCCCATTCTCCCGATTTCCGTCACCCCGCCCCATTCTTCCTCTTTCCATCACCCCGCCCCATTCTTCCTCTTTCCATCTCCCCGCCCCATTCTCCCTCTTTCCATCACCCCGCCCCATTCTCTCTCTTTCCATCACCCCGCCCCATTCTCCCTCTTTCCATCACCCCGCCCCATTCTCCCGATTTCCGTCACCCCGCCCCATTCTCCCTCTTTCCATCACCCCACCCCATTCTCCCGATTTCCGTCATCCTGCCCCATTCTCCCTCTTTCCATCACCCCGCCCCATTCTCCCTCTTTCCATCACCCCAACACATTCTCCCGCTTTCCATCACCCCGCCCCATTCTCCCGCTTTCCATCACCCCGCCCCATTCTTCCTCTTTCCATCTCCCCGCCCCATTCTCCCTCTTTCCGTCACCCCGCCCCATTCTCCCTCTTTCCATCACCCCGCCCCATTCTCCCTCTTTCCATCACCCCGCCCCATTCTCCCGATTTCCGTCACCCCGCCCCATTCTCCCTCTTTCCATCACCCCGCCCCATTCTCCCTCTTTCCATCACCCCGACCCATTCTCCCGCTTTCCATCACCCCGCCCCATTCTCCCTCTTTCCATCACCCCGCCCCAATCTCCCGCCTTCCATCACCCCGCCCCATTCTCCCTTTTTCCATCACCCCGCCCCATTCTCACGCTTTCCATCACCCCGCCATATTCTCCCTCTTTCCATCACCCCGCCCCATTCTCCCGCTTTCCATCACCACGCCCCATTCTCCCTCTATCCATCACCCCGCCCCATTCTCCCACTTTCCATCACCCCACCCCATTCTCTCGCTTTCCATCACCCCGCCTTATTCTCCCGCTTTCCATCACCCCGCCCCATTCTCCCGATTTCCATCACCCCGCCCCATTCTCCCGCTTTCCATCACCTCGCCCCATTCTCTCGCTTTCCATCACCCCACCCCATTCTCCCGCTTTCCGACACCCCGCCCCATTCTCCCGCTTTCCATCACCCCGCCCCATTCTCACTCTTTCCATCACCCTGCCCCATTCTCCCTCTTTCGATCACCCCGCCCCATTCTTCCGCTTTCCATCACCCCGCCCCATTCTCCCTCTTTCCATAACCCCGCCCCATACTCCCGCTTTCCATCACCCCGCCCCATTGTCCCTCTTTCCATCACCCCGCCCCATTCTCCCGCTTTCCATCACCCCGCCCCAATCTCCCTCTTTCAATCACCCCGCCCCATTCTCCCGCTTTCCATCACCCCGCCCCATTCTCCCGCTTTCCATCACCCCGCCCCATTCTCCCTCTTTCCATCACCCCGCCCCGTTCTCCCGCTTTCCATCACCCCGCCCCATTCTCCCGCTTTCCATCACCCCGCCCCATTCTCCCTCTTTCCTTCACCCCGCCCCGTTCTCCCGCTTTCCATCACCCCGCCCCATTCTCCCGCTTTCCATCACCCCGCCCCATTCTCCCGCTTTCCATCACCCCGCCCCATTCTTCCTCTTTCCATCACCCCGCCCCATTCTCCCGCTTTCCATCACCCCGCCCCATTCTCCCGCTTTCCATCACCCCGCCCCATTCTCCCGCTTTCCATCACCCCGTCCCATTCTCCCTCTTTCCATCACCCCGCCCCATTCGCCAGCTTTCCATCACCCCGCCCCATTCTTCCTCTTTCCATCTCCCCGCCCCATTCTCCCTCTTTCCATCACCCCGCCCCATTCTCCCTCTTTCCATCACCCCGCCCCATTCTCCCTCTTTCCATCACCCCGCCCCATTCTCCCGATTTCCGTCACCCCGCCCCATTCTCACGCTTTCCATCACCCCACCCCATTCTCCCTCTTTCCATCACCCTGCCCCATTCTCCCGCTTTCCATCACCCCGCCCCATTCTCCCGATTTCCATCACCCCGCCCCATTCTCCGCTTTCCATCACCCCGCCCCATTCTCCCGATTTCCATCACCCCGCCCCAATCTCCAGCTTTCCAACACCCTGCCCCATTCTCCCGCTTTCCATCACCCCACCCCATTCTCACTCTTTCCATCACCCCTCCCCATTTTCCCTCTTTCCATCACCCCGCCCCATTCTCCTGCTTTCTATCACCCCGCCCCATTCTCCCTCTTTCCATCACCCCGCCCCATTCTCCCGCCTTCCATCACCCCGCCCCATTCTCCATCTTTCCATCACCCTGCCCAATTCTCCCCCTTTCCATCACCCCGCCCCATTCTCCATCTTTCCATCACCCTGCCCAATTCTCCCCCTTTCCATCACCCCGCCCCATTCTCCCGCCTTCCATCACCCCGCCCCATTCTCCCTCTTTCCATCACCCCGCCCCATTCTCCCGCTTTCCATCACCCCGCCCCATTCTCCCTCTTTCCATCACCCCGCCCCATTCTCCCGCTTTCCATCACCCCGCCCCATTTTCCCGATTTCCATCACCCCGCCCCATTCTCCCGCTTTCCATCACCTTGCCCCATTCTCCCGCTTTCCATCACCCCGCCCCATTCTCCTGCTTTCCATCACCCCGCCCCATTCTCCCGCTTTCCATCACCCAGCCCCATTCTCCCGCTTTCCATCACCCCGCCCCATTCTCCCGCTTTCCATCACCCCGCCCCATTCTCCCTCTTTCCATCACCCCGCCCCATTCTCCCGCATTCCATCACCCCGCCCCATTTTCCCTCGTTCCATCACCCCGCTCCATTCTCCCGCTTTCTATCACCCCGCCCAATTCTCCCTCTTTCCATCACCCCTCCCCATTCTCCCTCTTTCCATCACCCCGCCCCATTCTCCCGCTTTCCATCACCCCGCCCCATTCTCCCTCTTTCCATCACCCCGCCCCATTCTCCCTCTTTCCATCACCCCGCCCCATTCTCCCGCTTTCCATCACCCCGCCCCATTCTCCCTCTTTAGATCACCCCGCCCCATTCTCCCGCTTTCCATCACCCCGCCCCATTCTCCCTCTTTCCATCACCCCGCTCCATTCTCCCGCTTTCCATCACCCCGCCCAATTCTCCCTCTTTCCATCACCCCTCCTCATTCTCCCTCTTTCCATCACCCCGCCCCATTCTCCCGCTTTCCACCACCCCGCTCCATTCTCCCGCTTTCCATCACCCCTGCCCCATTCTCCCGCTTTCCATCACCCCACCCCATTCTCACTCTTTCCATCACCCCTCCCCATTCTCCCTCTTTCCATCACCCCGCCCCATTCTCCTGCTTTCTATCACCCCGCCCCATTCTCCCTCTTTCCATCACCCCGCCCCATTCTCCCGCCTTCCATCACCCCGCCCCATTCTCCATCTTTCCATCACCCTGCCCAATTCTCCCCCTTTCCATCACCCCGCCCCATTCTCCCGCCTTCCATCACCCCGCCCCATTCTCCCTCTTTCCATCACCCCGCCCCATTCTCCCGCTTTCCATCACCCCGCCCCATTTTCCCGATTTCCATCACCCCGCCCCATTCTCCCGCTTTCCATCACCCCGCCCCATTCTCCCGCTTTCCATCACCCCGCCCCATTCTCCCGCTTTCCATCACCCCGCCCCATTCTCCCGCTTTCCATCACCCAGCCCCATTCTCCCGCTTTCCATCACCCAGCCCCATTCTCCCGCTTTCCATCACCCCGCCCCATTCTCCCTCTTTCCATCACCCCGCCCCATTCTCCCGCATTCCATCACCCCGCCCCATTTTCCCTCGTTCCATCACCCCGCTCCATTCTCCCGCTTTCCATCGCCCCGCCCAATTCTCCCGCTTTCCATCACCCCTCCCCATTCTTCCTCTTTCCATCACCCCGCCCCATTCTCCCGCTTTCCATCACCCTGCCCCATTCTCCCTCTTTCCATCACCCCGCCCCATTCTCCCGCATTCCATCACCCCGCCCCATTTTCCCTCGTTCCATCACCCCGCTCCATTCTCCCGCTTTCCATCACCCCGCCCAATTCTCCCTCTTTCCATCACCCCTCCCCATTCTTCCTCTTTCCATCACCCCGCCCCATTCTCCCGCTTTCCATCACCCCGCCCCATTCTCCCGCCTTCCATCACCCCGCCCCATTCTCCCTCTTTCCATCACCCCGCCCCATCCTCCCGCTTTCCATCACCCCGCCCCATTTTCCCGATTTCCATCACCCCGCCCCATTCTCCCGCTTTCCATCACCCCGCCCCATTCTCCTGCTTTCCATCACCCCGCCCCATTCTCCCGCTTTCCATCACCCCGCCCCATTCTCCCGCTTTCCATCACCCAGCCCCATTCTCCCGCTTTCCATCACCCCGCCCCATTCTCCCCCCCTTCCATCACCCCGCCCCATTCTCCCTCTTTCCATCACCCCGCCCCATTCTCCCGCATTCCATCACCCCGCCCCATTTTCCCTCGTTCCATCACCCCGCTCCATTCTCCCGCTTTCCATCACCCCGCCCAATTCTCCCTCTTTCCATCACCCCTCCCCATTCTCCCTCTTTCCATCACCCCGCCCCATTCTCCCGCTTTCCATCACCCCGCCCCATTCTCCCTCTTTCCATCACCCCGCCCCATTCTCCCTCTTTCCATCACCCCGCCCCATTCTCCCGCTTTCCATCACCCCGCCCCATTCTCCCTCTTTCCATCACCCCGCCCCATTCTCCCGCTTTCCATCACCCCGCCCCATTCTCCCTCTTTCCATCACCCCGCTCCATTCTCCCGCTTTCCATCACCCCGCCCAATTCTCCCTCTTTCCATCACCCCTCCTCATTCTCCCTCTTTCCATCACCCCGCCCCATTCTCCCGCTTTCCACCACCCCGCTCCATTCTCCCGCTTTCCATCACCCTGCCCAATTCTCCCGCTTTCCATCACCCCGCCCCTAGAGATAGGTGCCTCTAGAGATTGGTACCCCTAAAGAGACGCGCCCATGGAGATAGGTGCCCATATACATAGGTGCCCCTAGAGATAGGCGCCCCTTAAGATAGGCGCCCATAGAAATAGGAGCCCCTAGAGATAGGCGCCCATAGAGATAGGCGCCCATAGAGACAGGCGCCCCTAGAGATAGGCGCCCCTAGAGATAGGCGCCCATAGAGATAGGCGCCCAAAGAGATAGGTGCTCATAGAGATAGGCGCCCATAGAGACAGGCGCCCCTAGAGATAGGCGCCCATAGAGATAGGCGCCCATAGAGACAGGCGCCCCTAGAGATAGGCGCCCCTAGAGATAGGCGCCCATAGAGATTGGCGCCCATAGAGATAGGCGCCCCTAGAGATAGGCGCCCCCAGAGATAGGCGCCCCTAGAGATAGGCGCCCATAGAGATAGGCGCCCATAGAGATAGGCGCCCCTAGAGATAGGCAACCCTAGAGATAGGCGCCCATAGAGATAGGCGCCCAAAGAGATAGGCACCCATAGAGATAGGCGCCCATAGAGATAGGCGCCCATAGAGATAGGCGCCAATAGAGATAGGCGCCCCTAGAGATAGGCGCCCATAGAGAAAGGCGCCACTAGAGATAGGCGCCCCTAGAGATAGGCGTCCATAGAGATAGGCGCCCGTAGAGATAGGCGCCCATAGAGATAGGCGCCCATAGAGATAGGCGCCCATAGAGATAGGCGCCCCTAGAGATAGGCGCCCCTAGAGATAGGCGCCCATAGAGATAGGCGCCCAAAGAGATAGGCGCCCATAGAGATAGGCGCCCCTAGAGATAGGTGCCCATAGAGATAGGCGCCCCTAGAGATAGCCGCCCCTAGAGATAGGCAACCCTAGAGATAGGCGCCCCTAGAGATAGGCGCCCCTGGAGATAGGCGCCACTAGAGATAGGTGCCCCTAGAGGTAGGCGCCCCTAGAGATGGGCGCCCATAGAGATAGGCGCCTCTAGAGATTGGCGCCCCTAAAGAGAGGCGCCCATAGAGATAGGCGCCTATAGAGATATGTGCCCCTAGAGATAGGCGCCCCTAGAGATAGACGCCCATAGAGATAGACGCCCCTAGAGATAGGCGCCCATAGAGATTGGCGCCCAAAGAGATAGGCGCCTCTAGAGATTGGCGCCCCTAAAGAGAGGCGCCCATAGAGATAGGCGCACATAGAGATAAGCGCCCCTAGAGATAGGCGCCTATAGAGATAGGCGCCGCTAAAAATAGGCGCCCATAGAGATAGGCGCCCCTAGAGATAGGTGCCCATAGAGATAGGCGCCCATAGAGATAGGCGCCCCTAGAGATAGGCGCCCCTAGAGATAGGCACCCATAGAGATAGTCGCCCAAAGAGATAGGCACCCATAGAGATAGGCGCCCATAGAGATAGGCGCCCATAGAGATAGGCGCCCATAGAGATAGGCGCCCCTAGAGATAGGTGCCCATAGAGAAAGGCGCCACTAGAGATAGGCGCCCCTAGAGATAGGCGCCGCTAAAGATAGGCGCCCATAGAGATAGGCGCCCCTAGAGATAGGCGCCCATAGAGATAGGCGCCCATAGAGATAGGCGCCCCTAGAGATAGGTGCCCCTAGAGATAGGCGCCCATAGAGATAGGCGCCCAAAGAGATAGGCACCCATAGAGATAGGCGCCCATAGAGATAGGCGCCCATAGAGATAGGCGCCCATAGAGATAGGCGCCCCTAGAGATAGGCGCCCATAGAGATAGGCGCCCAAAGAGATAGGCACTCATAGGGATAGGCGCCCATAGAGATAGGCGCCCATAGAGATAGGCGCCCAAAGAGATAGGCACCCATAGGGATAGGCGCCCATAGAGATAGGCGCCCATAGAGATAGGCGCACATAGAGATAGGCGCCCCTAGACATAGGCGCCCATAGAGATAGGCGCCACTAGAGATAGGCGCCCCTAGAGATAGGCGCCTATAGAGATAGGCGCCGCTAAAGATAGGCGCCCATAGAGATAGGCGCCCCTAGAGATAGGCGCCCATAGAGATAGGCGCCCATAGAGATAGGCGACCCTAGAGATAGGCACCCCTAGAGATAGGCGCCCATAGAGATAGGCGCCCAAAGAGATAGGCACCCATAGAGATAGGCGCCCATAGAGATAGGCGCCCATAGAGATAGGCGCCCCTAGAGATAGGCGCCCATAGAGATAGGCGCCACTAGAGATAGGTGCCCCTAGAGATAGGCGCCCATAGAGATAGGCGCCCGTAGAGATAGGCGCCCATAGAGATAGGCGCCCATAGAGATAGGCGCCCCTAGAGATAGGCACCCCTAGAGATAGGCGCCCATAGAGATAGGCGCCCAAAGAGATAGGCACCCATAGAGATAGGCGCCCATAGAGATAGGCGCCCATATAGATAGGCGCCAATAGAGATAGGCGCCCCTAGAGATAGGCGCCCATAGAGAAAGGCGCCACTAGAGATAGGCGCCCCTAGAGATAGGCGCCCATAGAGATAGGCGCCCGTAGAGATAGGCGCCCATAGAGATAGGCGCCCAAAGAGATAGGCGCCCATAGAGATCGGCGCCCCTAGAGATAGGCGCCCCTAGAGATAGGCGCCCATAGAGATAGGCGCCCAAAGAGATAGGCGCCCATAGAGATAGGCGCCCCTAGAGATAGGCGCCCATAGAGATAGGCGCCCCTAGAGATAGCCGCCCCTAGAGATAGGCAACCCTAGAGATAGGCACCCCTAGAGATAGGCGCCCCTGGAGATAGGCGCCACTAGAGATAGGTGCCCCTAGAGGTAGGCGCCCCTAGAGATGGGCGCCCATAGAGATAGGCGCCTCTAGAGATTGGCGCCCCTAAAGAGAGGCGCCCATAGAGATAGGCGCCTATAGAGATATGTGCCCCTAGAGATAGGCGCCCCTAGAGATAGACGCCCATAGAGATAGACGCCCCTAGAGATAGGCGCCCATAGAGATAGGCGCCCATAGAGATAGGCGCCCCTAGAGATAGGCGCCTATAGAGATAGGCGCCCATAGAGACTGGCGCCCAAAGAGATAGGCGCCCCTAGAGATTGGCGCCCCTAAAGAGAGGCGCCCATAGAGATAGGCGCACATAGAGATAAGCGCCCCTAGAGATAGGCGCCTGTAGAGATAGGCGCCGCTAAAGATAGGCGCCCAAAGAGATAGGCGCCCCTAGAGATAGGCGCCCATAGAGATAGGCGCCCATAGAGATAGGCGCCCCTAGAGATAGGCGCCCCTAGAGATAGGCGCCCATAGAGATAGGCGCCCAAAGAGATAGGCACCCATAGAGATAGGCGCCCATAGAGATAGGAGCCCATAGAGATAGGCGCCCATAGAGATAGGCGCCCCTAGAGATAGGCGCCCATAGAGATAGGCGCCCAAAGAGATAGGCACCCATAGGGATAGGCGCCCATAGAGATAGGCGCCCATAGAGATAGGCGCCCAAAGAGATAGGCACCCATAGGGATAGGCGCCCATAGAGATAGGCGCCCATAGAGATAGGCGCACATAGAGATAGGCGCCCCTAGACATAGGCGCCCATAGAGATAGGCGCCACTAGAGATAGGCGCCCCTAGAGATAGGCGCCTAAAGAGATAGGCGCCGCTAAAGATAGGCGCCCATAGAGATAGGCGCCCCTAGAGATAGGCGCCCATAGAGATAGGCGCCCATAGAGATAGGCGCCCCTAGAGATAGGCACCCCTAGAGATAGGCGCCCATAGAGATAGGCGCCCAAAGAGATAGGCACCCATACAGATAGGCGCCCATAGAGATAGGCGCCCATAGAGATAGGCGCCCCTAGAGATAGGCGCCCATAGAGATAGGCGCCAGTAGAGATAGGTGCCCCTAGAGATAGGCGCCCATAGAGATAGGCGCCCGTAGAGATAGGCGCCCATAGAGATAGGCGCCCATAGAGATAGGCGCCCCTAGAGATAGGCACCCCTAGAGATAGGCGCCCATAGAGATAGGCGCCCAAAGAGATAGGCACCCATAGAGATAGGCGCCCATAGAGATAGGCGCCCATATAGATAGGCGCCAATAGAGATAGGCGCCCATAGAGACAAGCGCACAAAGAGATAAGCGCCCCTAGAGATAGGCGCCTATAGAGATAGGCGCCGCTAAAGATAGGCGCCCATAGAGATAGGGGCCCCTAGAGATAGGCGCCCATAGAGATAGGCGCCCATAGAGATAGGCGCCCCTAGAGATAGGCGCCCCTAGAGATAGGCGCCCATAGAGATAGGTGCCCAAAGAGATAGGCACCCATAGAGATAGGCGCCCATAGAGATAGGCGCCCATAGAGATAGGCGCCCATAGAGATAGGCGCCCCTAGAGATAGGTGCCTATAGAGATAGGCGCCACTAGAGATAGGCGCCCCTAGAGATAGGCGCCGCTAAAGATAGGCGCCCATAGAGATAGGCGCCCCTAGAGATAGGCGCCCATAGAGATAGGCGCCCATAGAGATAGGCGCCCCTAGAGATAGGCGCCCCTAGAGATAGGCGCCCATAGAGATAGGCGCCCAAAGAGATAGGCACCCATAGAGATAGGCGCCCATAGAGATAGGCGCCCATAGAGATAGGCGCCCATAGAGATAGGCACCCCTAGAGATAGGCGCCCATAGAGATAGGCGCCCAAAGAGATAGGCACCCATAGGGATAGGCGCCCATAGAGATAGGCGCCCATAGAGATAGGCGCCCAAAGAGATAGGCACCCATAGGGATAGGCGCCCATAGAGATAGGCGCCCATAGAGATAGGCGCACATAGAGATAGGCGCCCCTAGAGATAGGCGCCCATAGAGATAGGCGCCACTAGAGATAGGCGCCCCTAGAGATAGGCGCCTATAGAGTTAGGCGCCGCTAAAGATAGGCGCCCATAGAGATAGGCGCCCCTAGAGATAGGCACCCATAGAGATAGGCGCCCATAGAGATAGGCGCCCCTAGAGATAGGCACCCCTAGAGATAGGCGCCCATAGAGATAGGCGCCCAAAGAGATAGGCACACATAGAGATAGGCGCCCATAGAGATAGGCGCCCATAGAGATAGGCGCCCATAGAGATAGGCGCCCCTAGAGATAGGCGCCCATAGAGATAGGCGCCACTAGAGATAGGTGCCCCTAGAGATAGGCGCCCATAGAGATAGGCGCCCATAGAGATAGGCGCCCAAAGAGATAGGCACTTATAGAGATAGGCGCCCATAGAGATAGGCGCCCATAGAGATAGGCGCCCATAGAGATAGGCGCCCCTAGAGATAGGTGCCCATAGAGATAGGCGCCACTAGAGATAGGCGCCCCTAGAGATAGGCGCCGCTAAAGATAGGCGCCCATAGAGATAGGCGCCCCTAGAGATAGGCGCCCATAGAGATAGGCGCCCATAGAGATAGGCGCCCCTAGAGATAGGCGCCCCTAGAGATAGGCGCCCATAGAGATAGGCGCCCAAAGAGATAGGCACCCATAGAGATAGGCGCCCATAGAGATAGGCGCCCATAGAGATAGGCGCCCATAGAGATAGGCGCCCCTAGAGATAGGCGCCCATAGAGATAGGCGCCACAAGAGATAGGCGCCCCTAGAGATAGGCGCCCATAGAGATAGGCGCCCGTAGAGATAGGCGCCCATAGAGATATGCGCCCATAGAGATAGGCGCCCATAGAGATAGGCGCCCCTAGAGATAGGCGCCCCTAGAGATAGGCGCCCATAGAGATAGGCGCCCAAAGAGATAGGCGCCCATAGAGATAGGCGCCCCTAGAGATAGGCGCCCATAGAGATAGGCGCCCCTAGAGATAGGCGTCCCTGGAAATAGGCGCCACTAGAGATAGGTGCCCCTGGAGGTAGGCGCCCCTAGAGATGGGCGCCCATAGAGATAGGCGCCTCTAGAAATTGGCACCCCTAAAGAGAGGCGCCCATAGAGATAGGCGCCTATAGAGATATGTGCCCCTAGAGATAGGCGCCCCTAGAGATAGACGCCCATAGAGATAGGCGCCCCTAGAGATAGGCGCCCATAGAGATAGGCGCCACTAGAGATAGGCGCCCCTAGAGATAGGCGCCCATAGAGATAGGCGCCCGTAGAGATAGGCGCCCATAGAGATAGGCGCCCATAGAGATAGGCGCCCATAGAGATAGGCGCCCCTAGAGATAGGCGCCCATAGAGATAGGCGCCCCTAGAGATAGCCGCCCATAGAGATAGGCACCCCTAGAGATAGGCGCCCCTAGAGATAGGCGCCCCTGGAGATAGGCGCCACTAGAGATAGGTGCCCCTAGAGGTAGGCGCCCCTAGAGATGGGCGCCCATAGAGATAGGCGCCTCTAGAGATTGGCGCCCCTAAAGAGAGGCGCCCATAGAGATAGGCGCCTATAGAGATATGTGCCCCTAGAGATAGGCGCCCCTAGAGATAGACGCCCATAGAGATAGGCGCCCCTAGAGATAGGCGCCCATAGAGATAGGCGCCCATAGAGATAGGCGCCCCTAGAGATAGGCGCACATAGAGATAGGCGCCCATAGAGATTGGCGCCCAAAGAGATAGGCGCCTCTAGAGATTGGCGCCCCTAAAGAGAGGCGCCCATAGAGATAGGCGCACATAGAGATAAGCGCCCCTAGAGATAGGCGCCTATAGAGATAGGCGCCGCTAAAGATAGGCGCCCATAGAGATAGGCGCCCCTAGAGATAGGCGCCCATAGAGATAGGCGCCCATAGAGATAGGCGCCCATAGGGATAGGCGCCCCTAGAGATAGGCGCCCATAGAGATAGGCGCCCAAAGAGATAGGCACCCATAGATATAGGCGCCCATAGAGATAGGCGCCCATAGAGATAGGCGCCCATAGAGATAGGCGCCCCTAGAGATAGGTGCCCATAGAGATAGGCGCCACTAGATATAGGCGCCCCTAGAGATAGGCGCCGCTAAAGATAGGCGCCCATAGAGATAGGCGCCCCTAGAGATAGGCGCCCATAGAGAAAGGCGCCCATAGAGATAGGCGCCCCTAGAGATAGGCACCCCTAGAGATAGGCGCCCATAGAGATAGGCGCCCAAAGAGATAGGCACCCATAGAGATAGGCGCCCCTAGAGATAGGCGCCGCTAAAGATAGGCGCCCATAGAGATAGGCGCCCCTAGAGATAGGCGCCCATAGAGATAGGCGCCCCTAGAGATAGGCGCCCATAGAGATAGGCGCCTATAGAGATATGTGCCCCTAGAGATAGGCGCCCCTAGAGATAGACGCCCATAGAGATAGGCGCCCCTAGAGATAGGCGCCCATAGAGATAGGCGCCCATAGAGATAGGCGCCCCTAGAGATAGGCGCACATAGAGATAGGCGCCCATAGAGATTGGCGCCCAAAGAGATAGGCGCCTCTAGAGATTGGCGCCCCTAAAGAGAGGCGCCCATAGAGATAGGCGCACATAGAGATAAGCGCCCCTAGAGATAGGCGCCTATAGAGATAGGCGCCGCTAAAGATAGGCGCCCATAGAGATAGGCGCCCCTAGAGATAGGCGCCCATAGAGATAGGCGCCCATAGAGATAGGCGCCCATAGGGATAGGCGCCCCTAGAGATAGGCGCCCATAGAGATAGGCGCCCAAAGAGATAGGCACCCATAGATATAGGCGCCCATAGAGATAGGCGCCCATAGAGATAGGCGCCCATAGAGATAGGCGCCCCTAGAGATAGGTGCCCATAGAGATAGGCGCCACTAGATATAGGCGCCCCTAGAGATAGGCGCCGCTAAAGATAGGCGCCCATAGAGATAGGCGCCCCTAGAGATAGGCGCCCATAGAGAAAGGCGCCCATAGAGATAGGCGCCCCTAGAGATAGGCACCCCTAGAGATAGGCGCCCATAGAGATAGGCGCCCAAAGAGATAGGCACCCATAGAGATAGGCGCCCCTAGAGATAGGCGCCGCTAAAGATAGGCGCCCATAGAGATAGGCGCCCCTAGAGATAGGCGCCCATAGAGAAAGGCGCCCCTAGAGATAGGCGCCCATAGAGATAGGCGCCCATAGAGATAGGCGCCCCTAGAGATAGGCACCCCTAGAGATAGGCGCCCATAGAGATAGGCGCCCAAAGAGATAGGCACCCATAGAGATAGGCGCCCATAGAGATAGGCGCCCATAGAGATAGGCGCCCATAGAGATAGGCGCCCCTAGAGATAGGTGCCTATAGAGATAGGCGCCACTGGAGATAGGCGCCCCTAGAGATAGGCGCCGCTAAAGATAGGCGCCCATAGAGATAGGCGCCCCTAGAGATAGGCGCCCATAGAGATAGGCGCCCATAGAGATAGGCGCCCCTAGAGATAGGCGCCCCTAGAGATAGGCGCCCATAGAGATAGGCGCCCAGAGAGATAGGCACCCATAGAGATAGGCGCACATAGAGATAGGCGCCCATAGAGATAGGCGCCCATAGAGATAGGCGCCCCTAGAGATAGGCGCCCTTAGAGATAGGCGCCCAAAGAGATAGGCACCCATAGGGATAGGCGCCCATAGAGATAGGCGCCCATAGAGATAGGCGCCCAAAGAGATAGGCACCCATAGGGATAGGCGCCCATAGAGATAGGCGCCCATAGAGATAGGCGCACATAGAGATAGGCGCCCCTAGAGATAGGCGCCCATAGAGATAGGCGCCACTAGAGATAGGCGCCCCTAGAGATAGGCGCCTATAGAGTTAGGCGCCGCTAAAGATAGGCGCCCATAGAGATAGGCGCCCCTAGAGATAGGCACCCATAGAGATAGGCGCCCATAGAGATAGGCGCCCATAGGGATAGGCACCCCTAGAGATAGGCGCCCATAGAGATAGGCGCCCAAAGAGATAGGCACCCATAGATATAGGCGCCCATAGAGATAGGCGCCCATAGAGATAGGCGCCCATAGAGATAGGCGCCCCTAGAGATAGGTGCCCATAGAGATAGGCGCCACTAGAGATAGGCGCCCCTAGAGATAGGCGCCGCTAAAGATAGGCGCCCATAGAGATAGGCGCCCCTAGAGATAGGCGCCCATAGAGATAGGCGCCCATAGAGATAGGCGCCCCTAGAGATAGGCACCCCTAGAGATAGGCGCCCATAGAGATAGGCGCCCAAAGAGATAGGCACCCATAGAGATAGGCGCCCCTAGAGATAGGCGCCGCTAAAGATAGGCGCATATAGAGATAGGCGCCGCTAAAGATAGGCGCCCATAGAGATAGGCGCCCCTAGAGATAGGCGACCATAGAGATAGGCGCCCATAGAGATAGGCGCCCCTAGAGATAGGCACCCCTAGAGATAGGCGCCCATAGAGATAGGCGCCCAAAGAGATAGGCACCCATAGAGATAGGCGCCCATAGAGATAGGCGCCCATAGAGATAGGCGCCCCTAGAGATAGGCGCCCATAGAGATAGGCGCCACTAGAGATAGGTGCCCCTAGAGATAGGCGCCCATAGAGATAGGCGCCCGTAGAGATAGGCGCCCATAGAGATAGGCGCCCATAGAGATAGGCGCCCCTAGAGATAGGCACCCCTAGAGATAGGCGCCCATAGAGATAGGCGCCCAAAGAGATAGGCACCCATAGAGATAGGCGCCCATAGAGATAGGCGCCCATAGAGATAGGCGCCAATAGAGATAGGCGCCCCTAGAGATAGGCGCCCATAGAGAAAGGCGCCACTAGAGATAGGCGCCCCTAGAGATAGGCGCCCATAGAGATAGGCGCCCGTAGAGATAGGCGCCCATAGAGATAGGCGCCCATAGAGATAGGCGCCCATAGAGATAGGCGCCCCTAGAGATAGGCGCCCCTAGAGATAGGCGCCCATAGAGATAGGCGCCCAAAGAGATAGGCGCCCATAGAGATAGGCGCCCCTAGAGATAGGCGCCCATAGAGATAGGCGCCCCTAGAGATAGCCGCCCCTAGAGATAGGCAACCCTAGAGATAGGCGCCCCTAGAGATAGGCGCCCCTGGAGATAGGCGCCACTAGAGATAGGTGCCCCTAGAGGTAGGCGCCCCTAGAGAAGGGCGCCCATAGAGATAGGCGCCTCTAGAGATTGGCGCCCCTAAAGAGAGGCGCCCATAGAGATAGGCGCACATAGAGATAAGCGCCCTTAGAGATAGGCGCCTATAGAGATAGGCGCCGCTAAAGATAGGCGCCCATAGAGATAGGCGCCCCTAGAGATAGGCGCCCATAGAGATAGGCGCCCATAGAGATAGGCGCCCATAGGGATAGGCGCCCCAAGAGATAGGCGCCCATAGAGATAGGCGCCCAAAGAGATAGGCACCCATAGAGATAGGCGCCCATAGAGATAGGCGCCCATAGAGATAGGCGCCCATAGAGATAGGCGCCCCTCGAGATAGGTGCCTATAGAGATAGGCGCCACTAGAGATAGGCGCCCCTAGAGATAGGCGCCCATAGAGATAGGCGCCCATAGAGATAGGCGCCCCTAGAGATAGGCGCCCCTAGAGATAGGCGCCCATAGAGATAGGCGCCCAAAGAGATAGGCACCCATAGAGATAGGCGCCCATAGAGATAGGCGCCCATAGAGATAGGCGCCCATAGAGATAGGCGCCCCAAGAGATAGGCGCCCATAGAGATAGGCGCCCAAAGAGATAGGCACCCATAGGAATAGGCGCCCATAGAGATAGGCGCCCATAGAGATAGGCGCCCAAAGAGATAGGCACCCATAGGGATAGGCGCCCATAGAGATAGGCGCCCATAGAGATAGGCGCACATAGAGATAGGCGCCCCTAGAGATAGGCGCCCATAGAGATAGGCGCCACTAGAGATAGGCGCCCCTAGAGATAGGCGCCTATAGAGTTAGGCGCCGCTAAAGATAGGCGCCCATAGAGATAGGCGCCCCTAGAGATAGGCACCCATAGAGATAGGCGCCCATAGAGATAGGCGCCCCTAGAGATAGGCACCCCTAGAGATAGGCGCCCATAGAGATAGGCGCCCAAAGAGATAGGCACCCATAGAGATAGGCGCCCATAGAGATAGGCGCCCATAGAGATAGGCGCCCATAGAGATAGGCGCCCCTAGAGATAGGCGCCCATAGAGATAGGCGCCACTAGAGATAGGTGCCCCTAGAGATAGGCGCCCATAGAGATAGGCGCCCGTAGAGATAGGCGCCCCTAGAGATAGGCGCCCATAGAGATAGGCGCCCATAGAGATAGGCGCCCCTAGAGATAGGCGCCCATAGAGATAGGCGCCCCTAGAGATAGCCGCCCCTAGAGATAGGCACCCCTAGAGATAGGCGCCCCTAGAGATAGGCGCCCCTGGAGATAGGCGCCACTAGAGATAGGTGCCCCTAGAGGTAGGCGCCCCTAGAGATGGGCGCCCATAGAGATAGGCGCCTCTAGAGATTGGCGCCCCTAAAGAGAGGCGCCCATAGAGATAGGCGCCTATAGAGATATGTGCCCCTAGAGATAGGCGCCCCTAGAGATAGACGCCCATAGAGATAGGCGCCCCTAGAGGTAGGCGCCCATAGAGATAGGCGCCCATAGAGATAGGCGCCCCTAGAGATAGGCGCACATAGAGATAGGCGCCCATAGAGATTGGCGCCCAAAGATATAGGCGCCTCTAGAGATTGGCGCCCCTGAAGAGAGGCACCCATAGAGATAGGCGCACATAGAGATAAGCGCCCCTAGAGATAGGCGCCTATAGAGATAGGCGCCGCAAAAGATAGGCGCCCATAGAGATAGGCGCCCCTAGAGATAGGCGCCCATAGAGATAGGCGCCCATAGAGATAGGCGCCCCTAGAGATAGGCGCCCCTAGAGATAGGCGCCCATAGAGATAGGCGCCCAAAGAGATAGGCACCTATACAGATAGGCGCCCATAGAGATAGGCGCCCATAGAGATAGGCGCCCATAGAGATAGGCGCCCCTAGAGATAAGTGCCCATAGAGATAGGCGCCACTAGAGATAGGCGCCCCTAGAGATAGGCGCCGCTAAAGATAGGCGCCCATAGAGATAGGCGCCCCTAGAGATAGGCGCCCATAGAGATAGGCGCCCATAGAGATAGGCGCCCCTAGAGAAAGGCGCCCCTAGAGATAGGCGCCCATAGAGATTGGCGCCCAAAGATATAGGCGCCCATAGAGATAGGCGCCCATAGAGATAGGCGCCCATAGAGATAGGCGCCCATAGAGATAGGCGCCCCTAGAGATAGGCGCCCATAGAGATAGGCGCCACTAGAGATAGGCACCCCTAGAGATAGGCGCCCATAGAGATAGGCGCCCGTAGAGATAGGCGCCCATAGAGATATGCGCCCATAGAGATAGGCGCCCATAGAGATAGGCGCCCCTAGAAATAGGCGCCCCTAGAGATAGGCGCCCATAGAGTTAGGCGCCCAAAGAGATAGGCGCCCATAGAGATAGGCGCCCCTAGAGATAGGCGCCCATAGAGATAGGCGCCCCTAGAGATAGCCGCCCCTAGAGATAGGCATCCCTAGAGATAGGCGCCCCTAGAGATAGGCGCCCCTGGAGATAGGCGCCACTAGAGATAGGTGCTCCTAGAGGTAGGCGCCCCTAGAGATGGGCGCCCATAGAGATAGGCGCCTCTAGAAATTGGCGCCCCTAAAGAGAGGTGCCTATCCCTAGAGATAGGCGCCCATAGAGATAGGCGCCTCTAGGGGTGCCTATCTCTAGGGGCGGCTATCTCTAGGGGCGCCTATCTCTATGGGCGCCTATCTCTAGGGGCGCCTATCTCTATGGGCGCCTATCTCTATGGGCGCCTATCTCTATGGGCGCCTATCTCTACGGGCGCTTATCTCTATGGGCGCCTATCTCTAGGGGCGCCTATCTCTAGTGGCGCCTATCTCTATGGGCGCCTATCTCTAGGGGCGCCTATCTCTATGGGCGTCTATCTCTAGGGGCGCCTATCTCTAGGGGCACATATCTCTATAGGCGCCTATCTCTATGGGCGCCCATCTCTAGGGGCGCCTACCTCTAGGGGCACCTATCTCTAGTGGCGCCTATCTCCAGGGGCGCCTATCTCTAGGGGCGCCTATCTCTAGGGGCGGCTATCTCTAGGGGCGCCTATCTCTAGGGGCGCCTATCTCTAGGGGCGCCTATCTCTAGGGATGCCTATCTCTAGGGGCGGCTATCTCTAGGGGCGCCTATCTCTATGGGCGCCTATCTCTAGGGGCGCCTATCTCTATGGGCGCCTATCTCTTTGGGCGCCTATCTCCATGGGCGCCTATCTCTAGGGGCGCCTATCTCTAGGGGCGCCTATCTCTATGGGCGCCTATCTCTATGGGCGCATATCTCTATGGGCGCCTATCTCTACGGGCGCCTATCTCTATGGGCGCCTATCTCTAGTGGCGCCTATCTCTATGGGCGCCTATCTCTAGGGGCGCCTATCTCTATGGGCGCCTATCTCTATGGGCGCCTATCTCTATGGGCGCCTATCTCTATGGGTGCCTATCTCTTTGGGCGCCTATCTCTATGGGCGCCTATCTCTAGGGGCGCCTATCTCTAGGGGCGCCTATCTCTAGGGGCGTCTATCTCTATGGGCGCCTATCTCTAGGGGCGCCTATCTCTATGGGCGCCTATCTTTAGCGGCGCCTATCTCTAGGGGCGCCTTTCTCTAGTGGCGCCTATATCTATGGGCACCTATCTCTAAGGGCGCCTATCTCTATGGGCGCCTATCTCTATGAGCGCCTATCTCTATGGGCGCCTATCTCAATGGGTGGCTATCTCTTTGGGCGCCTATCTCTATGGGCGCCTATCTCTATGGGCGCCTATCTCTATGGGCGCCTATCTCTATGGGTGCCTATCTCTTTGGGCGCCTATCTCTATGGGCGCCTATCTCTAGGGGCGCCTATCTCTAGGGGCGCCTATCTCTAGGGGCGTCTATCTCTATGGGCGCCTATCTCTAGGGGCGCCTATCTCTATGGGCGCCTATCTTTAGCGGCGCCTATCTCTAGGGGCGCCTTTCTCTAGTGGCGCCTATATCTATGGGCACCTTTCTCTAAGGGCGCCTATCTCTATGGGCGCCTATCTCTATGAGCGCCTATCTCTATGGGCGCTTATCTCAATGGGTGCCTATCTCTTTGGGCGCCTATCTCTATGGGCGCCTATCTCTAGGGGCGCCTATCTCTAGGGGCGCCTATCTCTATGGGCGCCTATCTCTATGGGCGCCTATCTCTAGGGGCGCCTTTCTCTATGGGCGCCTATCTTTAGCGGCGCCTATCTCTATAGGCGCCTATCTCTAGGGGCGCTTATCTCTATGTGCGCCTATCTCTATGGGCGCCTCTCTTTAGGGGCGCCAATCTCTAGAGGCGCCTATCTCTTTGGGCGCCAATCTCTATGGGCGCCTATCTCTATGTGCGCCTATCTCTAGGGGCGCCTATCTCTATGGGCGCCTATCTCTATGGGCGCCTATCTATAGGGGCGCCTATCTCTATGGGCGTCTATCTCTAGGGGCGCCTATCTCTAGGGGCACATATCTCTATAGGCGCCTATCTTTATGGGCGCCTCTCTTTAGGGGCGCCAATCTCTAGAGGCGCCTATCTCTATGGGCGCCCATCTCTAGGGGCGCCTACCTCTAGGGGCACCTATCTCTAGTGTCGCCTATCTCCAGGGGCGCCTATCTCTAGGGGCGCCTATCTCTAGGGGTGCCTATCTCTAGGGGCGGCTATCTCTAGGGGCGCCTATCTCTATGGGCGCCTATCTCTAGGGGCGCCTATCTCTATGGGCGCCTATCTCTATGGGCGCCTATCTCTATGGGCGCCTATCTCTACGGGCGCCTATCTCTATGGGCGCCTATCTCTAGGGGCGCCTATCTCTAGTGGCGCCTATCTCTATGGGCGCCTATCTCTAGGGGCGCCTATCTTTATGGGCGCCTATCTCTATGGGCGCCTATCTCTATGGGCGCATATCTCTATGGATGCCTATCTCTTTGGGCGCCTATCTCTATGGGCGCCTATCTCTAGGGGTGCCTATCTCTAGGGGCGCCTATCTCTATGGGCGCCTATCTCTATGGGCGCCTATCTCTAGGGACGCCTATCTCTATGGGCGCCTATCTTTAGCGGCGCCTATCTCTATAGGCGCCTATCTCTAGGGGCGCCTATCTCTAGTGGCGCCTATCTCTATGGGTGCCTATCTCTAGGGGCGCCTATCTCTATGGGCGCCTATCTCTATGGGCGCCTATCTGTATGGGCGCCTATCCTTATGGGTGCCTATCTCTTTGGGCGCCTATCTCTATGGGCGCCTATCTCTATGGGCGCCTATCCCTATGGGTGCCTATCTCTTTGGGCGCCTATCTCTATGGGCGCCTATCTCTAGGGGCGCCTATCTCTATGGGCGCCTATCTCTATGGGCGCCTATCTCTATGGGCGGCTATCTCTAGAGCGCCTATCTCTTTGGGCGCCTATCTCTATGGGCGCCTATCTCTAGGGGCGCCTATCTCTAGGGGCGCCTATCTCTATGGGCGCCTATCTCTATGGGCGCCTATCTCAAGGGGCGCCTATCTCTAGTGGCGCCTATCTCTATGGTTGCCTATCTCTAGGGGCGCCTATCTCTATGGGCGCCTATCTCTATGGGCGCCTATCTGTATGGGCGCCTATCCTTATGGGTGCCTATCTCTTTGGGCGCCTATCTCTATGGGCGCCTATCTCTATGGGCGCCTATCCCTATGGGTGCCTATCTCTTTGGGCGCCTATCTCTATGGGCGCCTATCTCTAGGGGCGCCTATCTCTATGGGCGCCTATCTCTATGGGCGCCTATCTCTATGGGCGCCTATCTCTATGGGTGCCTATCTCTTTGGGCACCTATCTCTATGGGCGCCTATCTCTAGGGGCGCCTATCTCTAGGGGCGCCTATCTCTATGGGCGCCTATCTCTATGGGCGCCTATCTCTAGGGGCGCCTATCTCTATGGGCGCCTATCTTTAGCGGCGCCTATCTCTAGGGGCGCCTATCTCTAGTGGCGCCTATCTCTATGGGCACCTATCTCTAGGGGCGCCTATCTCTATGGGCGCCTATCTCTATGGGCGCCTATCTCTATGGGCGCCTATCTCTATGGGTGCCTATCTCTTTGGGCGCCTATCTCTATGGGCGCCTATCTCTAGGGGCGCCTATCTCTAGGGGCGCCTATCTCTTTGGGCGCCTATCTCTATGGGCGCCTATCTCTAGGGGCGCCTATCTCTATGGGCGCCTATCTTTAGCGGCGCCTATCTCTATAGGCGCCTATCTCTAGTGGCGCTTATCTCTATGTGCGCCTATCTCTATGGGCGCCTCTCTTTAGGGGCGCCAATCTCTAGAGGCGCCTATCTCTTTGGGCGCCAATCTCTATGGGCGCCTATCTCTATGTGCGCCTATCTCTAGGGGCGCCTATCTCTATGGGCGTCTATCTCTAGGGGCGCCTATCTCTATGGGCACATATCTCTATAGGCGCCTATCTCTATGGGCGCCTCTCTTTAGGGGCGCCAATCTCTAGAGGCGCCTATCTCTATGGGCGCCCATCTCCAGGGGCGCCTACCTCTAGGGGCACCTATCTCTAGTGGCGCCTATCTCCAGGGGCGCCTATCTCTAGGGGCGCCTATCTCTAGGGGTGCCTATCTCTAGGGGCGGCTATCTCTAGGGGCGCCTATCTCTATGGGCGCCTATCTCTAGGGGCGCCTATCTCTATGGGCGCCTATCTCTTTGGGCGCCTATCTCTATGGGCGCCTATCTCTAGGGGCGCCTATCTCTAGGGGCGCCTATCTCTATGGGCGCCTATCTCTATGGGCGCCTATCTCTATGGGCGCCTATCTCTACGGGCGCCTATCTCTATGGGCGCCTATCTCTAGGGGCGCCTATCTCTAGTGGCGCCTACTCTATGGGCGCCTATCTCTAGGGGCGCCTATCTCTATTGGCGCCTATCTCTATGGGCGCCTATCTCTATGGGCGCCTATCTCTATGGGTGCCTATCTCTTTGGGCGCCTATCTCTATGGGCGCCTATCTCTAGGGGTGCCTATCTCTAGGGGCACCTATCTCTATGGGCGCCTATCTCTATGAGCGCCTATCTCTAGGGGCGCCTATCTCTAGGGGCGCCTATCTCTAGGGGCGCCTATCTCTATGGGCGCCTATCTCTATGGGCTCCTATCTCTAGGGGCGCCTATCTCTAGGGGTGCCTATCGCTAGGGGCGGCTATCTCTAGGGGCGGCTATCTCTAGAGCGCCTATCTCTATGGGTGCCTATCTCTTTGGGCGCCTATCTCTATGGGCGCCTATCTCTAGGGGCGCCTATCTCTAGGGGCGCCTGTCTCTATGGGCGCCTATCTCTATGGGCGCCTATCTCTAGGGGCGCCTATTTTTATTGGCGCCTATCTCTAGGGGCGCCTATCTCTAGGGGCACCTATCTATATGGGCGCCTATCTCCATGGGCGCGTCTCTTTAGGTGTACCAATCTCTAGAGGCACCCATCTCTAGGGGCGGGGTGATGGAAAGCGGGAGAATTGGGCGGGGTGATGGAAAGCGGGAGAATGGAGCGGGGTGGTGGAAAGCGGGAGAATGGGGCGTGGTGATGGAAAGAGGGAGAATGAGGAGGGGTGATGGAAAGAGGGAGAATTGGGCGGGGTGATGGAAAGCGGGAGAATGGAGCGGGGTGATGGAAAGAGGGAAAATGGGGCGGGGTGATGGAAAGCGGGAGAATGGGGCGGGGTGATGGAAAGCGGGAGAATGGGGCGGGGTGATGGAAAGCGGGAGAATGGGGCGGGGTGATGGAAAGCGGGAGAATGGGGCGGGGTGATGGAAAGAGGGAGAATGGGGCGGTGTGATGGAAAGCGGGAGAACGGGGCGGGGTGATGGAAAGCGGGAGAATGGGGCGGGGTGATGGAAAGTGGGAGAATGGGGCGGGGTGATGGAAATAGGGAAAATGGAGCGGGGTGATAAAAACTTGGAGAATGGGGCGGGGTGATGGAAAGAAGGAGAATGGGGAAGGGTGATGGAAAGCGGGAGAATGGGGCGAGGAGATGGAAAGAGGGAGAATGGGGCGAGGTGATGGAAACAGGGAGAATGGGGCGGGGTGACGGAAAGAGGGAGAGTGGGACGGGGTGATGGAAAGAGGGAGAATGGGGCGGGGAGATGGAAAGAGGGAGAATGGAGAGGGGTGATGGAAAGCGGGAGAATTGGGCGGGGTGATGGAAAGCGGGAAAATGGAGCAGGGTGATGGAAAGCGGGAGAATGGGGTGGGGTGATAGAAAGCGGGAGAATGGAGCGGGGTGATGGAAAGAGGGAGAATAGGGCGGGGTGATGGAAAGCAGGAGAATGGGGCGGGGTAATGGAAAGAGGGAGAATGGGGCGGGGTGATGGAAAGAGGGAGAATGGGGCGGGGTGATGGAAAGCGGGAGAATGGGGCGGGGTGATGGAAAGCGGGAGAACGGGGCGGGGTGATGGAAAGAGGGAGAATGGGGCGGGGTGATGGAAAGCGGGAGAATGGGGCGGGGTGATGGAAAGCGGGAGAATGGGGCGGGGTGATGGAAAGCGGGAGAATGGGGCGGGGTGATGGAAAGCGGGAGAACGGGGCGGGGTGATGGAAAGAGGGAGAATGGGGCGGGGTGATGGAAAGCGGGAGAATGGGGCGGGGTGATGGAAAGAGGGAGAATGGGGCGGGGTGATGGAAAGCGGGAGAATGGGTTGGGGTGATGGAAAGAGGGAGAATGGGGCGGGTGATGGAAAGAGGGAGAATGGGGCAGGATGACGGAAATCGGGAGAATGGGGCGGGGTGATGGAAAGAGGGAGAATGGGGCGAGGTGACGGAAATCGGGAGAATGGGGCGGGGTGATGGAAAGAGGGAGAATGGGGCGGGATGATGGAAAGAGGGAGAATGGGGCGGGGTGATGGAAAGAGGGAGAATGGGGCGGGGAGATGGAAAGAGGAAGAATGGGGCGAGGTGATGGAAAGAGGGAGAAGGGTGACGGAAATCGGGAGAATGGGGCGGGGTGATGGAAAGAGGGAGAATGGGGCGGGGTGACGGAAATCGGGAGAATGGGGCAGGGTGATGGAAAGAGGGAGAATGGGGCGGGGTGATGGAAAGAGGGAGAATGGGGCGGGGAGATGGAAAGAGGAAGAATGGGGCGGGGTGATGGAAAGCGGGAGAATGGGGCGGGGTGATGGAAAGCGGGAGAATGTGTCGGGGTGATGGAAAGAGGGAGAATGGGGCGGGGTGATGGAAAGAGGGAGAATGGGGCAGGATGACGGAATTCGGGAGAATGGGGTGGGGTGATGGAAAGAGGGAGAATGGGGCGGGGTGACGGAAATCGGGAGAATGGGGCGGGTGATGGGAAGAGGGAGAATGGGGCGGGGTGATGGAAAGAGGGAGAATGGGGCGGGGTGATGGAAAGAGGGAGAATGGGGCGGGAAGATGGAAAGAGGAAGAATGGGGCGGGGTGATGGAAAGAGGAAGAATGGGGCGGGGTGACGGAAATCGGGAGAATGGGGCGGGGTGATGGAAAGAGGAAGAATGGGGCGGGGTGACGGAAATCGGGAGAATGGGGCGGGGTGATGGAAAGAGGGAGAATGGGGCGGGGTGATGGAAAGAGGGAGAATGGGGCGGGGTGATGGAAAGAGGGAGAATGGGGCGGGGAGATGGAAAGAGGAAGAATGGGGCGGGGTGATGGAAAGCGGGAGAATGGGGCGGGGTGATGGAAAGAGGGAGAATGGGACGGGGTGATGGAAAGCGGGAGAACGGGGCGGGGTGATGGAAAGCGGGAGAATGGGGCGGGGTGATGGAAAGCGGGAGAATGGGGCGGGGTGATGGAAAGAGGGAGAAGGGGGCGGGGTGATGGAAAGCAGGAGAATGGGGCGGGGTGATGGAAAGCGGGAGAATGGGGCGGGGTGATGGAAAGCGGGAGAACGGGGCGGGGTGATGGAAAGAGGGAGAATGGGGCAGGGTGATGGAAAGCGGGAGAATGGGGCAGGATTATGGAAAGAGGGAGAATGGGGCGGGGTGATGGAAAGCGGGAGAATGGGGCGGGGTGATGGAAAGAGGGAGAATGGGGCGGGGTGATGGAAAGCGGGAGAATGGGGCGGGGTGATGGAAAGCGGGAGAATGGGGCGGGGTTATGGAGAAAGGGAGAATGGGGAGGGGTGATGGAAAGAGGGAGAATTGGGCGGGGTGATGGAAAGCGGGACAATGGAGCGGGATGATGGAATGCGGTAGAATGGGGCGGGGTGATGGAAAGTGGGAGAATGGGGCGGGGTGATAGAAAGAGGGAGAATGGGGCGGGGTGATGGAAAGCAGGAGAATGGGGCGGGGTGATGGAAAGCGGGAGAATGGGGCGGGGTGATGGAAAGCGGGAGAACGGGGCGGGGTGATGGAAAGAGGGAGAATGGGGCGGGGTGATGGAAAGCGGGAGAATGGGGCGGGGTTATGGAAAGAGGAAGAATGGGGCGGGGTGATGGAAAGCGGGAGAATGGGGCGGGGTGATGGAAAGAGGGAGAATGGGGCGGGGTGATGGAAAGAGGGAGAATGGGGCGGGGTGATGGAAAGCGGGAGAATGGGGCGGGGTTATGGAAAGAGGGAGAATGGGGCGGGGTGATGGAAAGCGGGAGAATGGGGCGGGGTGATGGAAAGAGGGAGAATGGGGCGGGGTGATGGAAAGAGTGAGAATGGGGCGGGGTGATGGAAAGCGGGAGAATGGGCCGAGGTGTTGGAAAGCGGGAGAATGGGGCGGGGTGATGGAAAGCGGGAGAATGGGGCGAGGTGATGGAAAGCGGGAGAATGGGGCGGGGTGATGGAAATCGGGAGAATGGGGCGGGGTGATGGAAAGCGGGAGAATAAGGCGGGGTGATGGAAAGCGAGAGAATGGGGCGGGGTGATGGAAAACGGGAGAATGGGATGGGGTGATGGAAAGTGGGAGAATTGGGCGGGGTGATGGATAGAGGGAGAATGGGGCGGGGTGATGGAAAGCGGGAGAATGGGGCGGGTGATGGAAAGAGGGAGAATGGGGCGGGGTGATGGAAAGCGTGAGAATGGGGCGGGGTGATGGAAATCGGGAGAATGGGGCGGGGTTATGGAAAGAGGGAGAATGGGGCGGGGTGACGGAAATCGGGAGAATGGGGCGGGGTGATAGAAAGAGGGAGAATGGGGCGGGGTGATGGAAAGAGGGAGAATGGGGCGGGGTGATGGAAAGAGGGAGAATGGGGCGGGGAGATGGAAAGATGAAGAATGGGGCGGGGTGATGGAAAGCGGGAGAATGGGGCGGGGTGATGGAAAGAGGGATAATGGGACGGGGTGATGGAAAGCGGTAGAATGGGGCGGGGTGATGGAAAGCGGGAGAATGGGGCGGGGTGATGGAAAGCGGGAGAATGGGGCGGGGTGATGGAAAGAGGGAGAATGGAACGGGGTGATGGAAAGCGGGAGAATGGGTCGGGGTGATGGAAGGAGGGAGAATGGGGCGGGGTGATGGAAAGAGGGAGAATGGGGCGGGGTGACGGAAATCGGGAGAATGGGGCGGGGTGATGGAAGGAGGGGGAATGGGGCGGGGTGATGGAAGGAGGGAGAATGGGGCGGGGTGATGGAAGGAGGGAGAAGGGGGCGGGGTGATGGAAAGCGGGAGAATGGGGTGGGGTGATGGAAAGCGAGAGAATGGGGCGGGGTGATGGAAAGCGGGAGAATGGGGAGGGCTGATGGAAAGCGGGAGAATGGGGCGGGGTGATCAAAGGAGGGAGAATTGGGCGGGGTGATGGAAGGAGGGAGAATGGGGCGGGGTGATGGAAGGAGGGAGAATGGGGCGGGGTGATGGAAAGTGGGAGAATGTGGCGGGTTGATGGAAAGCGGGAGAATGGGGCGGGGTTATAGAAAGCGGGAGAATGGGGCGGGGTGACGGAAAGCGGGAGAATGGGGCAGGGTGATGGAAGGAGGGAGAATGGGGAGGGGTGATGGAAAGCGGGAGAATGGGGCGTGGTGAAGGAAAGCGGGAGAAAGGGGCGGGGTGATGGAAAGCGGGAGTATGGGGCGGGGTGATGGAAGGAGGTAGAATGAGGCGGGGTGATGGAAGGAGAAGAATGGGGCGGGGTGATGGAAAGCGGGAGAATGGGGCGGGGTGATGGAAAGCGGGAGAATGGGGCGGAGTGATGGAAAGCGGGAGAATAGGGCGTGGTGATGGAAAGCGGGAGAATGGGGCGGGGTGATGGGAGAATGGGGCGGGGTGATGGAAAGCGGGAGAATGGGGCGGGTGATGGAAAGCGGGAGAATGGGGCGGGGTGATGGAAAGCGGGAGAATGGGGCGGTGTGATGGAAAGCGGGTGAATGGGGTGGGCTGATGGAAAGCGGGAGAATGGGGCGGGGTGATGGAAGGAGGGAGAATGGGGCGGGGTGATGGAAAGCGGGAGAATGGGGCGGGGTGATGGAAAGCGGGAGAATGGGGCGGGGTGATGAAAAGCGGGAGAATGGGGCGGGGTGATGGAAAGCGAGAGCATGGGGCGGGGTGATGGAAGCAGGTAGAATGAGGCGGGGTGATGGAAGGAGGGAGAATGGGGCGGGGTGATGGAAAGTGGGAGAATGGGGCGGGGTGATGAAAAGCGGGAGAATGGGGCGGGGTGATGGAAAGCGGGAGAATGGGGCGGGGTAATGGAAAGCGGGAGAATGGGGCGGGTGATGAAAAGCGGGAGAATGGGGCGGGGTGATGGAAGGAGGGAGAATGGGGAGGGGTGATGGAAAGCTGGGGAATGGGGCGGGATGATGGGAAGCGGGAGAATGGGGCGGGGTGATGAAAAGCGGGAGAATGGGGCGGGGTGATGGAAAGCGGGAGAATGGGGCGGGGAGATGGAAAGCGGGAGAAAGGGGCGGGGTGATGGAAAGCGGGAGAATGTGGCGGGCTGATAGAAAGTGGGAGAATGGGGCGGGGTGATGGAATGAGGGAGAATGGGGCGGGGTGATGGAAGGAGGGAGAAGGGGGCGGGGTGATGGAAAGCGGGAGAATGGGGTGGGGTGATGAAAAGCGAGAGAATGGGGCGGGGTGATGGAAAGCGGGAGAATGGGGAGGGCTGATGGAAAGCGGGAGAATGGGGCGGGGTGATCAAAGGAGGGAGAAAGGGGCGGGACGATGGAAGGAGGGAGAATGGGGCGGGTGATGGAAGGAGGGAGAATGGGGCGGGGTGATGGAAAGTGGGAGAATGTGGCGGGGTGATGGAAAGCGGGAGAATGGGGCGGGGTTATGGAAAGCGGGAGAATGGGGCGGGGTGACGGAAAGCGGGAGAATGGGGCAGGGTGATGGAAGGAGGTAGAATGAGGCGGGGTGATGGAAGGAGAAGAATGGGGCGGGGTGATGGAAAGCGGGAGAATGGGGCTTGGTGATGGAAAGCAGGAAAATGGGGCGGAGTGATGGAAAGCAGGAGAATGGGGTGGGGTGATGGAAAGCGGGAGAATGGGGCGTGGTTATGGAAAGCGGGAGAATGGGGCGGGGTGATGGGAGAATGGGGCGGGGTGATGGAAAGCGGGAGAATGGGGCGGGGTGATGGAAAGCGGGAGAATGGGGCGGGGTGATGGAAAGCGGGAGAATGGGGCGGGGTGATGGAAGGAGGTAGAATGAGGTGGGGTGATGGAAGGAGAAGAATGGGGCGGGGTGATGGAAAGCGGGAGAATGGGGCGGGGTGATGGAAAGCGGGAGAATGGGGCGTGGTGATGGAAAGCGGGAGAATGGGGCGGGGTGATGGAAAGCGGGAGAATGGGGCGTGGTGATGGAAAGCGGGAGAATTGGGCGGGGTGATGGGAGAATGGGGCGGGGTGATGGAAAGCGGGACAATGGGGCGGGGTGATAGAAAGCGGGAGAATGGGGCGGTGTGATGGAAAGCGGGTGAATGGGGTGGGCTGATGGAAAGGGAGAATCGGGCGGGGTGATGGAAGGAGGGAGAACGGGGCGGGGTGATGGAAAGCGGGAGAATGGGGCGGGGTGATGGAAAGTGGGAGAATGGGGCAGGGTGATGAAAGCGGGAGAATGGGGCGGGGTGATGGAAAGCGGGGGCATGGGGCGGGGTGATGGAAGGAGGTAGAATGAGGCGGGGTGATGGAAGGAGGGAGAATGGGGCGGGGTGATGGAAAGCGGGAGAATGGGGCGGGGTGATGGAAGGAGGGAGAATGGGGCGTGGTGATGGAAAGCGGGATAATGGGGCGGGGTGATGGAAAGCGGGAGAATGGGGCGGGGTGATGGAAAGCAGGAGAATGGAGCGGTGTGATGGAAAGCGGGAGAATGGGGGAGGGTGATGGAAAGCGGGAGAATGGGGCGGGGTGTGGAAAGCGGGAGAATGGGGGGGGGTGATGAAAGCGGGAGAATGGGGCGGGGTGATGGAAAGCGGGAGAATGGGGCGGGGTGATGGAAAGCGGGAGAATGGGGCGTGGTGATGGAAAGCGGGAGAATGGGGCGGGGTGATGGAAAGCGGGAGAATGGGGCGGGGTAATGGAAAGCGGGAGAATGGGGCGGTGTGATGGAAAGCGGGTGAATGGGGTGGGCTGATGGAAAGCGGGAGAATGGGACAGGGTGATGGAGAATGGGGGGTGATGGAAAGCGGGAGAATGGGGCGGGGTGATGGAAAGTGGAGAATGATGAAAGCGGGAGAATGGGGCGGGGTGATGGAAGCGGGAGCATGGGGCGGGGTGATGGAAAGATAGAATGAGACGGGGTGATGGAAAGGGAGAATGGGGCGGGGTGATGGAAAGCGGGAGAATGGGGCGGGGTGATGGTGGAGAATGGGGCGGGTGATGGAAAGCGGGAGAATGGGGCGGGGTGATGGAAGCGGGAGAATGGGGCGGGGTGATGGAAAGGGAGAATGGGGCGGGGTGATGGAAAGCGGGAGAAGAGGGCTGATGGAAGCGGGAGAATGGGGCGGGAGAATGGGGCGGGGTGATGGAAGGAGGGAGAATGGGGCGGGGTGATGGAAGGAGGGAGAATGTGGGAGAATGGGGCAGGGTGATGAAAAGCGGGAGAATGGGGCGGGGTGATGGAAAGCGGGGGCATGGGGCGGGGTGATGGAAGGAGGTAGAATGAGGCGGGGTGATGGAAGGAGGGAGAATGGGGCGGGGTGATGGAAAGCGGGAGAATGGGGCGGGGTGATGGAAGGAGGGAGAATGGGGCGTGGTGATGGAAAGCGGGATAATGGGGCGGGGTGATGGAAAGCGGGAGAATGGGGCGGGGTGATGGAAAGCAGGAGAATGGAGCGGTGTGATGGAAAGCGGGAGAATGGGGGAGGGTGATGGAAAGCGGGAGAATGGGGCGGGGTGTTGGAAAGCGGGAGAATGGGGGGGGGTGATGAAAAGCGGGAGAATGGGGCGGGGTGATGGAAAGCGGGAGAATGGGGCGGGGTGATGGAAAGCGGGAGAATGGGGCGTGGTGATGGAAAGCGGGAGAATGGGGCGGGGTGATGGAAAGCGGGAGAATGGGGCGGGGTAATGGAAAGCGGGAGAATGGGGCGGTGTGATGGAAAGCGGGTGAATGGGGTGGGCTGATGGAAAGCGGGAGAATGGGACAGGGTGATGGAAGGAGGGAGAATGGGGCGGGGTGATGGAAAGCGGGAGAATGGGGCGGGGTGATGGAAAGTGGGAGAATGGGGCGGGGTGATGAAAAGCGGGAGAATGGGGCGGGGTGATGGAAAGCGGGAGCATGGGGCGGGGTGATGGAAAGAGGTAGAATGAGACGGGGTGATGGAAGGAGGGAGAATGGGGCGGGGTGATGGAAAGCGGGAGAATGGGGCGGGGTGATGGTAGGAGGGAGAATGGGGCGGGGTGATGGAAAGCGGGAGAATGGGGCGGGGTGATGGAAAGCGGGAGAATGGGGCGGGGTGATGGAAAGCGGGAGAATGGGGCGGGGTGATGGAAAGCGGGAGAATGGGGAGGGCTGATGGAAAGCGGGAGAATGGGGCAGGGAGAATGGGGCGGGGTGATGGAAGGAGGGAGAATGGGGCGGGGTGATGGAAGGAGGGAGAATGGGGCTGGGTGATGGAAAGTGGGAGAATGTGGCGGGGTGATGGAAAGCGGGAGAATGGGGCGGGGTTATGGAAAGCAATGAATGGGGCGGGGTGACGGAAAGCGGGAGAATGGGGCAGGGTGATGGAAGGAGGGAGAATGGGGCGGGGTGATGGAAATCGGGAGAATGGGGCGTGGTGATGGAAAGCGGGAGAATGGGGCGGGGTGATGGAAAGCGGGAGAATGGGGCGGGGTGATGGAAAGCGGGAGAATGGGGCGGGGTGATGGAAGGGGGTAGAATGAGGCGGGGTGATGGAAGGAGAAGAATGGGGCGGGGTGATCGAAAGCGGGAGAATGGGGCGGGGTGATGGAAAGCGGGAGAATGGGGCGGAGTGATGGAAAGCGGGAGAATGGGGCGGGGTGATGGAAAGCGGGAGAATGGGGCGTGGTGATGGAAAGCGGGAGAATTGGGCGGGGTGATGGAAAGCGGGAGAATGGGGCGGGGTGATGGAAAGCAGGACAATGGGGCGGGGTGATAGAAAGCGGGAGAATGGGGCGGTGTGATGGAAAGCGGGTGAATGGGGTGGGCTGATGGAAAGGGAGAATCGGGCGAGTGATGGAAGGAGGGAGAACGGGGCGGGGTGATGGAAAGCGGGAGAATGGGGCGGGGTGATGGAAAGTGGGAGAATGGGGCAGGGTGATGAAAAGCGGGAGAATGGGGCGGGGTGATGGAAAGCGGGGGCATGGGGCGGGGTGATGGAAGGAGGTAGAATGAGGCGGGGTGATGGAAGGAGGGAGAATGGGGCGGGGTGATGGAAAGCGGGAGAATGGGGCGGGGTGATGGAAGGAGGGAGAATGGGGCGTGGTGATGGAAAGCGGGAGAATGGGGCGGGGTGATGGAAAGCGGGAGAATGGGGCGGGGTGATGGAAAGCAGGAGAATGGAGCGGTGTGATGGAAAGCGGGAGAATGGGGGAGGGTGATGGAAAGCGGGAGAATGGGGCGGGGTGTTGGAAAGCGGGAGAATGGGGGGGGGTGATGAAAAGCGGGAGAATGGGGCGGGGTGATGGAAAGTGGGAGAATGGGGCGGGGTGATGGAAAGCGGGAGAATGGGGCGGGTGATGGAAAGCGGATGAATGGGGCGGGGTGATGGAAAGCAGGAGAATGGGGCGGGGTGATGGAAAGCAGAATAATAGGGCGGGGTGATGGAAAGCGGGAGATGGGGCGAGATGATGGAAAGCGGGAGAATGGGGCGTGTAATGGAAAGCGGGAGAATGGGGCGGGGTGATGGAAGGAGGCAGAATGGGGAGGGGTGATGGAAAGCGGGGGAATAGGGCGGGATGATGGTAAGCGGGAGAATGGGGCGGGGTGATGGAAAGCGGGAGAATGGGGCGGGGTGATGGAAAGCGGGAGAATGGGGCACGGAGATGGAAAGCGGGAGAAAGGGGCGGGGTGATGGAAAGCGGGAGAATGGGGCGGGCTGATGGAAAGCGGGAGAATGGGGCGGGGTGATGGAAGGAGGGAGAATGGGGCGGGGTGATGGAAGGAGGGAGAAGGGGGCGGGGTGATGGAAAGCGGAAGAATGGCGCGGGGTGATGGAAAGCGGGAGAATGGGGCGGGTTGATGGAAGGGGGGAGAATGGGGCGGGGTGATGGAAAGCGGGAGAATGGGGCGGGGTGATGGAAAGCGGGAGAATGGTGCGGGGTGATGGAAAGCGGGAGAATGGGGCAGGGTGATGGAAAGCGGGAGAATGGGGCGGGGTGAAGGAAGGAGGGAGAATGGGGCGGGGTGATGGAAGGAGGAAGAAGGGGGCGGGGTGATGGAAAGCGAGAGAATGGGCCGGGGTGTTGGAAAGCGGGAGAATGGGGCGGGGTGATGAAAAGCGGGAGAATGGGGCGGGGTGATGGAAAGCGGGAGAATGGGGCGGGGTGATGGAAAGCGGGAGAATGGGGCGGGTGATGGAAAGCGGGTGAATGGGGCAGGGTGATGGAAAGCGGGAGAATGGGGCGGGGTGATGGAAAGCAGAAGAATGGGGCGGGGTGATGGAAAGCGGGAGAATGGGGCGAGGTGATGGAAAGCGGGAGAATGGGGCGGGTGATGGAAAGTGGGAGAATGGGGCGGGGTGATGGAAAGAGGGAGAATGGGGAGGGGTGATGGAAAGCGGGGGAATGGGGCGGGATGATGGGAAGCGGAAGAATGGGGCGGAGTGATGGAAAGCGGGAGAATGGGGCGGTGTGATGGAAAGCGGGAGAATGGGGCGGGGAGATGGAAAGCGGGAGAAAGGGGCGGGGTGATGGAAAGCGGGAGAATGGGGCGGAGTGATGGAAAGCGGGAGAATGGGGCGGGGTGATGGAAGGAGAGAGAAGGGGGCTGGGTTATGGAAAGCAGGAGAATGGGGTGGGGTTATGGGAAGTGGGAGAATGGGGCGGGGTGATGGAAAGCGGGAGAATGGAGCGGGGTGATGGAAAGCGGGAGAATGGGGCGGGGTGATGGAAAGCGGGAGAATGGGGCGGGTGATGGAAGGAGGAAGAAGGGGGCGGGGTGATGGAATGCGAGAGAATGGGCTGGGGTGTTGGAGAGCGGGAGAATGGGGCGGGGTGATGAAAAGCGGGATAATGGGGCGGGGTGATGGAAAGAGGGAGAATGGGGCGGGATGATGGAAAGCGGGAGAATGGGGTGGGGTTATGGGAAGCGGGAGAATGGGGCGGGGTGATGGAAAGCGGGAGAATGGGGCGGGGTGATGGAATGAGGGAGAATGGGGCGGGGTGATGGAAGGATCGAGAATGGGGCGGGGTGATGGAAAGCGGGAGAATGGGGCGGGGTGATGGAAGGAGGAAGAATGGGGCGGGATGATGGAAAGCGGGAGAATGGGGCGGGGTGATGGAAAGGGGGAGAATGGGGCGGGGTGATGGAAAGCGAGAGAATGGGGCGGGGTGATGGAAGGAGGGAGAATGGGGAGGGGTGATGGAAAGCGGGGAAATGGGGCGGGATGATGGGAAGCGGAAGAATGGGGCGGGGTGATGGAAAGCGGGAGAACGGGGCGGGGTGATGGGAAGCGGGAGAATGGGGCGGGGAGATGGAAAGCGGGAGAATGGGGCGGGCTGATGGAAAGCGGGAGAATGGGGCGGGCTGATGGAAGGAGGGAGAATGGGGCGGGGTGATGGAAGGAGAGAGAAGGGGGCGGGGTGATGGAAAGTGGGAGAATGTGGCGGGTTGATGGAAAGCGGGAGAATGGGGTGGGGTTATGGGAAGCGGGAGAATGGGGCGGGGTGATGGAAAGCGGGAGAATGGGGCGGGGTGATGGGAGGAGGGAGAATGGGGCGGGGTGATGGAAGGAGGAAGAATGGGGCGGAGTGATGGAAAGCGGGAGAATGGGGCGGGGTGATGGAAGGAGGGAGAATGGGGCGGGATGATGGAAAGCGGGAGAATGGGGCGGGGTGATGGAAAGCGGGAGAATGGGGCGGGGTGATGGAAAGCGGGAGAATCGGGCGGGGTGATGGAAATCGGGAGAATGGGGCGGGGTGATGGAAAGCGGGAGAATGGGGCGGGGTGTTGGAAGGAGGGAGAATGGGGGTGGGGTTATGGGAAGCGGGAGAATGGGGCGGGGTGATGGAAAGCGGGAGAATGGGGCGGGGTGATGGAAGAAGGGAGAATGGGTCGGGGTGATGGAAGGAGGGAGAATGGGGCGGGGTGATGGAAAGCGGGAGAATGGGGCGGGGTGATGGAAGGAGGGAGAATGGGGCGGGGTTATGGAAAGCGGAAGAATGGGGCGGGCTGATGGAAAGCGGGAGAATGGGGCGGGGTGATGGAAAGCGGGAGAATGGGGCTGGGCGATGGAAAGCGGGAGAATGGGGCGGGGTGATGGAAAGCGAGAGAATGGGGCGGGGTGATGGAAGGAGGGAGAATGGGGTGGGGTGATGGAAAGCGGGAGATTGGGGCAGGGTGATGGAAAGCGGGAGAATGAGGCGGGATGATGGAAAGCGGGAAAATGGGGCGGGGTGATGGAAAGTGGGAGAATGGGGCTGGGTGATGGAAAGCGGGAGAATGGGGCGGGGTGATGGAAAGCGGGAGAATGGGGCGGGGTGATGGAAGGAGGGAGAATGGGGCGGGGTGATGGAAGGAGAGAGAAGGGGGCAGGGTGATGGAAAGTGGGAGAATGTGGCGGGGTGATGGAAAGCGGGAGAATGGGGTGGGGTTATGGGAAGCGGGAGAATGGGGCGGGGTGATGGAAAGCGGGAGAATGGGGCGGGGTGATGGAAGGAGGGAGAATGGGGCGGGGTGATGGAAGGAGGGAGAATGGGGCGGAGTGATGGAAAGCGGGAGAATGGGGCGGGGTGATGGAAGGAGGGAGAATGGGGCGGGATGATGGAAAGCGGGAGAATGGGGCGGGGTGATGGAAAGCGGGAGAATGGGGCGGGGTGATGGAAGGAGGGAGCATGGGGCGGGGTGATGGAAGGAGGGAGAATGGGGCGGGGTGATGGAAAGCGGGAGAATGGGGCGGGGTGATGGAAGGAGGGAGAATGGGGCGGGGTGATGGAAAGCGGGAGAATGGGGCGGGGTGATGGAAAGCGGGAGAATGGGGCGGGGTTATGGAAAGCGGGAGAATGGGGCAGGGTGATGGAAAGCGGGAGAATGGGGCGGGGTGATGGAAAGCGGGAGATTGGGGCGGGGTGATGGAAGGAGGGAGAAGGGGGTGGGGTGATGGAAAGCGGGAGATTGGGGCAGGGTGATGGAAAGCGGGAGAATGGGGCGGGGTGATGGAAAGCGGGAGAATAGGGCGGGGTGATGGAAAGCGGGAGAATGGGGCGGGGTGATGGAAAGCGGGAGAATGGGGCGGGGTGATGGAAAGCGGGAGAATGGGGCGGGGTGAAGGAAAGCGGGAGAATGAGGCAGGGTGATGGAAAGCGGGAGAATGGGGCGACATGATGGAAGGAGGGAGAATGGGGCGGGATGATGGAAAGCGGGAGAACGGGGCGGGATGATGGAAAGCGGGAGAATGGGGCAAGGTGATGGAGAGCGGGAGAATGGGGCGGGGTGATGGAGAGCGGCAGAATGGGGCGGGGTGATGGAAAGCGGGAGAATTGGGCGGGGTGATGGAAAGCGCGAGAATGGGCGGGGTGATGGAAAGCGGGAGAATGGGGCGGGGTGATGGAAAGCGGGAGAATGGGGCGGGGTGATGGAAAGCGGGAGAATGGGGCGGGGTGATGGAAAGGGGGAGAATGGGGCGGGGTGATGGAAAGCGGGAGAATGGGGCGGGGTGATGGAAGGCGGGAGAATGGGGCAGGGTGATGGAAGGAGGGGGAATGGGGTGGGGTGATGGAAAGCGAGAGAATGGTGCGGGGTGATGGAAAGCGGGAGAACGGGGCGAGGTGATGGAAAGCGGGAGAACGGGGCGGGGTGATGGAAAGCGGGAGAACGGGGCGGGGTGATCGATAGCGGGAGAATGGGGCTGGGTGATGGAAAGCGGGAGAATGGGGCGGGGTGTTGGAAAGCGGGAGAATGGGACGGGGTGATGGAAAGTGGGAGAATGGGGCGGGGTGATTGAAGGAGGAAGAATAGGGCAGGGTGATGGAAGGAGGGAGAATGGGGCGGGGTGATGGAAGGAGGGAGAATGCGTAGGGGTGATGGAAAGCGGGAGAATGGGACGGGGTGATGGAAAGCGGGAGAATGGGGCGGGGTGATGGAAAGCGGGAGAATGGGGCGGGGTGATGGAAAGCGGGAGAATGAGGCGGGGTGATGGAAAGCGGGAGAATGGGGCGGGGTGATGGAAGGAGGGAGAATGGGGCGGGGTGATGGAAGGAGGGAGAATGGGGCGGAGTGATGGAAAGCGGGAGAATGGGGCGGGGTGATGGAAGGAGGGAGAATGGGGCGGGATGATGGAAAGCGGGAGAATGGGGCGGGGTGATGGAAAGCGGGAGAATGGGGCGGGGTGATGGAAGGAGGGAGCATGGGGCGGGGTGATGGAAGGAGGGAGAATGGGGCGGGGTGATGGAAAGCGGGAGAATGGGGCGGGGTGATGGAAGGAGGGAGAATGGGGCGGGGTGATGGAAAGCGGGAGAATGGGGCGGGGTGATGGAAAGCGGGAGAATGGGGCGGGGTTATGGAAAGCGGGAGAATGGGGCAGGGTGATGGAAAGCGGGAGAATGGGGCGGGGTGATGGAAAGCGGGAGATTGGGGCGGGGTGATGGAAGGAGGGAGAAGGGGGTGGGGTGATGGAAAGCGGGAGATTGGGGCAGGGTGATGGAAAGCGGGAGAATGGGGCGGGGTGATGGAAAGCGGGAGAATAGGGCGGGGTGATGGAAAGCGGGAGAATGGGGCGGGGTGATGGAAAGCGGGAGAATGGGGCGGGGTGATGGAAAGCGGGAGAATGGGGCGGGATGAAGGAAAGCGGGAGAATGAGGCAGGGTGATGGAAAGCGGGAGAATGGGGCGACATGATGGAAGGAGGGAGAATGGGGCGGGATGATGGAAAGCGGGAGAACGGGGCGGGATGATGGAAAGCGGGAGAATGGGGCAAGGTGATGGAGAGCGGGAGAATGGGGCGGGGTGATGGAGAGCGGCAGAATGGGGCGGGGTGATGGAAAGCGGGAGAATTGGGCGGGGTGATGGAAAGCGCGAGAATGGGCGGGGTGATGGAAAGCGGGAGAATGGGGCGGGGTGATGGAAAGCGGGAGAATGGGGCGGGGTGATGGAAAGCGGGAGAATGGGGCGGGGTGATGGAAAGGGGGAGAATGGGGCGGGGTGATGGAAAGCGGGAGAATGGGGCGGGGTGATGGAAGGCGGGAGAATGGGGCAGGGTGATGGAAGGAGGGGGAATGGGGTGGGGTGATGGAAAGCGAGAGAATGGTGCGGGGTGATGGAAAGCGGGAGAACGGGGCGGGGTGATGGAAAGCGGGAGAACGGGGCGGGGTGATGGAAAGCGGGAGAACGGGGCGGGGTGATCGATAGCGGGAGAATGGGGCTGGGTGATGGAAAGCGGGAGAATGGGGCGGGGTGTTGGAAAGCGGGAGAATGGGACGGGGTGATGGAAAGTGGGAGAATGGGGCGGGGTGATTGAAGGAGGAAGAATAGGGCAGGGTGATGGAAGGAGGGAGAATGGGGCGGGGTGATGGAAGGAGGGAGAATGCGTAGGGGTGATGGAAAGCGGGAGAATGGGACGGGGTGATGGAAAGCGGGAGAATGGGGCGGGGTGATGGAAAGCGGGAGAATGGGGCGGGGTGATGGAAAGCGGGAGAATGAGGCGGGGTGATGGAAGGAGGGAGAATGGGGCGGGGTGATGGAAGGAGGGAGAATGGGGCGGGGTGATGGAAGAAGGGAGAATGGGGCGGGGTAATGGAAAGCGGGAGAATGGGCGGGGTGATGGAAAGCGGGAGAATGGGGCAGGGTGATGGAAAGCGGGAGAATGGGGCGGGGTGATGGAAAGCTGGAGAATGGGGCGGGGTGATGGAAAGCGGGAGAATGGGGCGGGGTGATGGAAAGCGGGAGAATGGGGCGGGGTGATGGAAAGCGGGAGAATGGGGCGGGGTGATGGAAAGCGGGAGAATGGGGCGGGGTGATGGAAGGAGGGGGAATGGGGCGGGGTGATGGAAGGAGGGAGAATGGGGCGGGGTGATGGAAAGCGGGAGAATGGTGCGGGGTGATGGAAAGCGGGAAAATGGGGCGGGGTGATGAAAAGATGGAGAATGGGGTGGGGTGATGGAAAGCGGGAGAATGGGGCGGGGTGATGGAAAGCGGGAGAATGGGGCGAGGTGATGGAAAACGGGAGAATGGGGCGGGGTGATGGAAGGAGGGAGAATGGGGCGGGTTGATGGAAAGCGGGAGAATGGTGCGGGGTGATGGAAAGTGGGAGAATGGGGCGGGGTGATGAAAAGATGGAGAATGGGGTGGGGTGATGGAAAGCGGGAGAATGGGGAGGGGTGATGGAAAGCGAGAGAATGGGGCGGGGTGATGGAAAGCGGGAGAATTGTGCGGGGTGATAGAATGCGGGAGAATGGGGTGGGGTGATGAAATGATGGAGAATGGGGTGGGCTGATGGAAAGCGGGAGAATGGGGCGGGGTGATGGAAAGCGGGAGAATGGGGCGAGGTGATGGAAAGCGGGAGAATGGGGCGGGGTGATTGAAAGCGGGAGAATGGGGCGGGGTGATGGAAAGCGGGAGAATGGGGCGGGGTGATGGAAGGAGGGAGAATGGGGCGGGGTGATGGAAAGCGGGAGAATAGGGCGGGCTGATGTAAAGCGGGAGAATGGGGCAGGGTAATGGAAGGAGGGAGAATGGGGCGGGGTGATGGAAGGAGGAAGAATGGGGCGGGGTGATGGAAGGAGGGAGAATGGGGCGGGGTGATGGAAGGAGGGAGAATGGGGCGGGGTGATGGATAGCGGGAGAATGGGGCAAGGTGATGGAAAGCGGGAGAATGGGGCAGGGTGATGGAAAGCTGGAGAACAGGGCAGGGTGATGGAAAGCGGGAGAATGGGGCAGGGTGATGGAAAGCGGGAGAATGGGGCGGGGTGATGGAAAGCGGGAGAATGGGGCGGGGTGATGGAAAGCGGGAGAATGGGGCGGGGTGATGGAAGGAGGGAGAATGAGGTGGGGTGATGGAAGGAGGGAGAATGGGGCGGGGTGATGGAAGGAGGGAGAATGGGGCGGGGTGATGGAAAGCAGGAGAATGGGGCAGGGTGCCTATCTCTAGGGGCGCCTATCTCTAGGGGCGCCTATCTCTATGGGCGCCTAACTCTATAGGCGCCTATCTCTATGGGCGCCTATCTCTATGGGCACCTTTCTCTATGGGCGCCTATCTCTATGGGCGCCTATCTCTATGGGCGCCAATCTCTATGGGCGCCTAACTCTATGGGCGCCTATCTCTATGGGCGCCTATCTCTATGGGCGCCTATCTCTATGGGCGCCTATCTCTATGGGCGCCTATCTCTATGGGCGCCTATCTCTATGGGCGCCTATCTATATGGGCGCCTATCTCTATGGGCGCCTATCTCTATGGGCGCCTATCTCTATGGGCACCTATCTCTATGGGCGCCTATCTCTATGGGCGCCTATCTCTATGGGCGCCTATCTCTATGTGCGCCTATCTCTATGGGCGCCTATCTCTATGGGCGCCTATCTCTATGGGCGCCTATCTCTAGGGGTGCCTATCTCTATGGGCGCCTATCTCTAGGGGCGCCTATCTCTAGTGGCGCCTATCTCTAGGGGCGCCTATCTCTATGGGCGCCTATCTCTAGGGGCGCCTATCTCTAGGGGCGCCTATCTCTAGGAGCGCCTATCTCTAGGGGCGCATATCTCTATGGGCGCCAATCTCTAAGGGCACCTATCTCTATGGGCGCCTATCTCTATGGGCGCCTATCTCTAGGGGCGGCTATCTCTATGGGCGTCTATCTCAAGGGGCGCCTATCTCTAGGGGTGCCTATCTCTATGGGCGCCTATCTCTATGGGCGCCTATCTCTATGGGCGCCTATCTCTAGGGGTGCCTATCTCTATGGGCGCCTATCTCTAGGGGCGCCTATCTCTAGGGGCGCCTATCTCTAGGAGCGCCTATCTCTAGGGGCGCATATCTCTATGGGCGCCAATCTCTAGGGGCACCTATCTCTATGGGTGCCTATCTCTATGGGCGCCTATCTCTATGGGTGCCTATCTCTATGGGCGCCTATCTCTATGGGCGCCTATCTCTATGGGCGCCTATCTCTAGGGGCGCCTATCACCATGGGCGCCTATCTCTATGGGCGCCTATCTCTATGGGCGCCTATCTCTAGGGGCGCCTATCTCTATGGGCGCCTATCTCTATGGGCGCCTATCTCTATGGGCGCCTATCTCTATGGGCGCCTATCTCTATGGGCGCCTATGTCTATGGGCGCCTATCTCTATGGGCGCCTATCTCTATGGGCGCCTATCTCTATGGGAGCCTATCTCTATGGGCGCCTTTCTCTAGGGGTGCCTATCTCTGTGGGCGCCTATCTCTAGGGGCGCCTATCTCTAGTGGCGCCTATCTCTAGGGGCGCCTATCTCTAGGAGCGCCTATCTCTAGGGGCGCATATCTCTATGGGCGCCAATCTCTAGGGGCACCTTTCTCTATGGGCGCCTATCTCTATGGGCGCCTATCTCTAGGGGCGGCTATCTCTATGGGCGTCTATCTCAAGGGGCGTCTATCTCTAGGGGTGCCTATCTCCATGGGCGCCTATCTCTATGGGCGCCTCTCTTTAGGGGCGCCAATCTCTAGAGGCGCCTATCTCTATGGTCGCCCATCTCTAGGGGCGCCTACCTCTAGGGGCACCTATCTCTAGGGTCGCCTATCTCCAGGGGCGCCTATCTTTAAGGGCGCCTATCTCTAGGGGTGCCTATCTCTAGGGGCGGCTATCTCTAGGGGCACCTATCTCTATGGGCGCCTATCTCTAGGGGCGCCTATCTCTATGGGCGGCTATCTCTTTGGGCGCCTATCTCTATGGGCGTCTATCTCTATGGGCACCTATCTCTAGGGGCGCCTATCTCTAGTGGCGCCTATCTCTAGGGGCGCCTATCTCTATGGGCGCCTATCTCAAGGGGCGCCTATCTCTAGGGGCGCCTATCTCTAGGAGCGCCTATCTCTAGGGGCGCATATCTCTATGGGCGCCTATCTCTAGGGGCGCCTATCTCTATGAGCGCCTATCTCTATGGGCGCCTATCTCTATGGGCGCCTATCTCTTTGGGCGCCTATCTCTATGGGCGTCTATCTCTAGGGGCGCCTATCTCTAGGGGCGCCTATCTCTATGGGCGCCTATCTCTATGGGTGCCTATCTCTAGGGGCGCCTATCTCTATGGGCGCCTATCTTTAGCGTCGCCTATCTCTAGGGGCGCCTATCTCTATGGGCGCCTATCTCTATGGGCGCCTATCTTTAGCGGCGCCTATCTTTAGGGGCGCCTATCTCTAGGGGCGCCTATCTCTATGAGCGCCTATCTCTATGGGCGCCTATCTCTATGGGCGCCTATCTCTTTGGGCGCCTATCTCTATGGGCGTCTATCTCTAGGGGCGCCTATCTCTAGGGGCGCCTATCTCTATGGGCGCCTATCTCTATGGGCGCCTATCTCTAGGGGCGCCTATCTCTAGGGGCGCCTATCTCTATGGGCGCCTATCTCTATGGGCGCCTATCTCTATGGGCGCCTATCTCTATGGGCGCCTATCTCTATGGGCGCCTATCTCTATGGGCGCCTATCTCTATGGGCGCCTATCTCTATTGGCGCCTATCTCTATGGGCGCCTATCTCTATGGGCGCCTATCTCTAGGGGTGCCTATCTCTGTGGGCGCCTATCTCTAGGGGCGCCTATCTCTAGTGGCGCCTATCTCTAGGGGCGCCTATCTCTAGGAGCGCCTATCTCTAGGGGCGCATATCTCTATGGGCCCCAATCTCTAGGGGCACCTATCTCTATGGGCGCCTATCTCTATGGGCGCCTATCTCTAGGGGCGGCTATCTCTATGGGCGTCTATCTCAAGGGGCGCCTATCTCTAGGGGTGCCTATCTCCATGGGCACCTATCTCTATGGGCGCCTCTCTTTAGGGGCGCCAATCTCTAGAGGCGCCTATCTCTATGGTCGCCCATCTCTAGGGGCGCCTACCTCTAGGGGCACCTATCTCTAGGGGCGCCTATCTCCAGGGGCGCCTATCTTTAAGGGCGCCTATCTCTAGGGGTGCCTATCTCTAGGGGCGGCTATCTCTAGGGGCACCTATCTCTATGGGCGCCTATCTTTAGGGGCGCCTATCTCTATGGGCGGCTATCTCTTTGGGCGCCTATCTCTAGGGGCGCCTATCTCTAGTGGCGCCTATCTCTAGGGGCGCCTATCTCTATGGGCGCCTATCTCAAGGGGCGCCTATCTCTAGGGGCGCCTATCTCTAGGGGCGCCTATCTCTAGGGGCGCATATCTCTATGGGCGCCTATCTCTAGGGGCGCCTATCTCTATGAGCGCCTATCTCTATGGGCGCCTATCTCTATGGGCGCCTATCTCTTTGGGCGCCTATCTCTATGGGCGTCTATCTCTAGGGGCGCCTATCTCTAGGGGTGCCTATCTCTATGGGCGCCTATCTCTAGGGGAGCCTATCTCTAGGGGCGCCTATCTCTATGGGCGCCTATCTCTATGGGCGCCTATCTTTAGCGTCGCCTATCTCTAGGGGCGCCTATCTCTATGGGCGCCTATCTCTATGGGCGCCTATCTTTAGCGGCGCCTATCTTTAGGGGCGCCTATCTCTAGGGGCGCCTATCTCTATGAGCGCCTATCTCTATGGGCACCTATCTCTATGGGCGCCTATCTCTTTGGGCGCCTATCTCTATGGGCGTCTATCTCTAGGGGCGCCTATCTCTAGGGGCGCCTATCTCTATGGGCGCCTATCTCTATGGGCGCCTATCTCTAGGGGCGCCTATCTCTAGGGGCGCCTATCTCTATGGGCGCCTATCTCTATGGGCGCCTATCTCTATGGGCGCCTATCTCTATGGGCGCCTATCTCTATGGGCGCCTATCTCTATGGGCGCCTATCTCTATGAGCGCCTATCTCTATGGGCGCCTATCTCTATGGGCGCCTATCTCTATAGGCGCCTATCTCTAGGGGTGCCTATCTCTGTGGGCGCCTATCTCTAGGGGCGCCTATCTCTAGTGGCGCCTATCTCTAGGGGCGCCTATCTCTAGGAGCGCCTATCTCTAGGGGCGCATATCTCTATGGGCGCCAATCTCTAGGGGCACCTATCTCTATGGGCGCCTATCTCTATGGGCGCCTATCTCTAGGGGCGGCTATCTCTATGGGCGTGTATCTCAAGGGGCGCCTATCTCTAGGGGTGCCTATCTCTATGGGCGCCTATCTCTATGGGCGCCTCTCTTTAGGGGCGCCAATCTCTAGAGGCGCCTATCTCTATGGTCGCCCATCTCTAGGGGCGCCTACCTCTAGGGGCACCTATCTCTAGGGGCGCCTATCTCCAGGGGCGCCTATCTTTAAGGGCGCCTATCTCTAGGGGTGCCTATCTCTAGGGGCGGCTATCTCTAGGGGCACCTATCTCTATGGGTGCCTATCTCTAGGGGCGCCTATCTCTATGGGCGGCTATCTCTTTGGGCGCCTATCTCTATGGGCGCCTATCTCTAGGGGCGCCAATCTCTTGGGGCGCCTATCTCTATGGGCGCCTATCTCTATGGGCGCCTATCTCTATGGGCGCCTATCTCTATGGGCGCCTATCTCTAGGGGTGCCTATCTCTATGGGGCGCCTATCTCTGTGGGCGCTTATCTCTATGGGTGCCTATCTCTGGGGGCGCCTATCTCTATGGGCGCCTATCTCTATGGGCGCCTATCTCTAGGAGCGCCTATCTCTAGGGGCGCCTATCTCTAGCGGCGGCCTATCTCTATGGGCGCCTATCTCTAGGGGCGCCTATCTCTAAGGGCGCCAATCTCTAGGGGCACGTATCTCTAGGGGCGTCTATCCCGAGGGGCGCCTATCTCTAGGGGCGCCTATCTCTAGGGGTGCCTATCTCTAGGGGCGGCTATCTCTAGGGGCGCATATCTCTATGGGCGCCTATCTCTAGGGGCGCCTATCTCGATAGGCGACTATCTCTTTGGGCGCCTATCTCTATGGGCGCCTATCTCTATGGGCGCCTATCTCTTGGGGCGCCTATCTCTAGGGCGCCGATCTTTAGCGGCGCCTATCTCTAGGGGCGCCTATCACTAGGGGCGCCTATCTCTATGTGCGCCTATCTCTATGGGCGCCTCTCTTTAGGGGCGCCAATCTCTAGAGGTGCCTATCCCTTTGGGCGCCTATCTCTATGGGCGCCTATCTCTAGGGGCGCCTATCTCTATGGGCGCCTATCTCTATGGGCGCCTATCTCTAGGGGCGCCTATCTCTATGGGCGTCTATCTCAAGGGGCGCCTATCTCTAGGGGCGCCTATCTCTACGGGCGCCTATCTCTATGGGCGCCTCTCTTTAGGGGCGCCAATCTCTAGAGGTGCCTATCTCTATGGTCGCCCATCTCTAGGGGCGCCTACCTCTAGGGGCACCTATCTCCAGGGGCGCCTATCTTTAGGGGCGCCAATCTCTAGTTGCGCCTATCTCTAGGGGTGCCTTTCTCTAGGGGCGGCTATCTCTAGGGGCACCTATCTCTAGGGCCGCCTATCTCCAGGGGCGCCTATTTATAGGGGCGCCTATCTCTAGGGGTGCCTATCTCTAGGGGCGGCTATCTCTAGGGGCGCCTATCTCTATGGGCGCCTATCTCTTTGGGCGCCTATCTCTAGGGGCGCCTATCTCTAGGGGCGCATATCTCTATGGGCGCCTATCTCTAGGGGCGCCTATCTCTATGGGCGCCTATCTCTATGGGCGCCTATCTCTATGGGCGCCTACCTCTATGGGCGCCTATCTCTTTGGGCGCCTACCTCTATGGGCGCCTATCTCTAGGGGCGCCTATCTCTAGGGGTGCCTATCTCTATGGGCGCCTATCTCTATGGGCGCCTATCTCTAGGGGCGCCTATCTCTATGGGCGTCTATCTCTAGCAGCGCCCATCTCTATAGGCGCCTATCTGTAGGGGCGCCTATCTCTAGGGGCGCCTATCTCTATGTGCGCCTATCTCTATGGGCGCCTCTCTTTAGGGGCGCCAATCTCTAGAGGCGCTTATCTTTTTGGGCACCTATCTGTATGGGCGCTTATCTCTAGGGGCGCCTATCTCTAGGGGCGCCTATCTCCAGGGGCGCCTATCTCTAGGGGCGCCTATATCTAGGGGTGCCTATCGCTATGGGCGGCTATCTCTAGGGGCGCCTATCTCTATGGGCGCCTATCTCTAGGGGCTCCTATCTCTATGGGCACCTATCTCTTTGGGCGCCTATCTCTATGGGCCCCTATCTCTAGGGGCGCCTATCTCTAGGGGCGCCTATCTCTATGGGCGTCTATCTCTATGGGCGCCTATCTCTAGGGTCGCCTATCTCTATGGGTGTTTATCTCTAAGGGCGCCTATCTCTAGGGGCGCCTATCTCTATGGGCGCCTATCTCTAGGGGCGCCTATCTCTATGGGCGCCTATCTCTTTGGGCGCCTATCTCTAGGGGCGCCTATCTCTAGGGGCGCCTATCTCTAGGGGCGCCTATCTCTAGGGGCGCCTATCTCTAGGGGCGCCTATCTCTATGGGCGCGTCTCTTTAGGGGCGCAGATCTCTAGAGGCGCCTATCTCTATGGGCGCCCATCTCTAGGGGCGCCTACCTCTAGGGGCACCTATCTCTAGAGGCGCCTATCTCCAGGGGCGCATATCTCTAGGGGCGCCTATCTCTAGGGGTGCCTATCTCTAGGGGCGGCTATCTCTAGGGGCGCCTATCTCTATGGGCGCCTATCTCTAGGGGCGCCTATCTCTATGGGCGCCTATCTCTTTGGGCGCCTATCTCTATGGGCGCCTATCTCTAGGGGCGCCTATCTCTAGGGGCGCCAATCTCTATGGGCGCCTATCTCTATGGGCGCGTATCTCTATGTGCGCCTATCTCTATGGGCGCTTATCTCTATGGGCGCCTATCTCTATGAGCGTCTATCTCTATGGGCACCTATCTCTAGGGGCGCCTATCTCTAGTGGCGCCTATCTCTAGGGGCGCCTATCTCTATGGGCGCCTATCTCAAGGGGCGCCTATCTCTAGGGGCGCCTATCTCTAGGGGCGCCTATCTCTAGGGGCGCATATCTCTATGGGCGCCTATCTCTAGGGGCGCCTATCTCTATGAGCGCCTATCTCTATGGGCGCCTATCTCTATGGGTGCCTATCTCTTTGGGCGCCTATCTCTATGGGCGTCTATCTCTAGGGGCGCCTATCTCTAGGGGTGCCTATCTCTAGGGGCGGCTATCTCTAGGGGCGCCTATCTCTATGGGCGCCTATCTCTAGGGGCGCCTATCTCTATGGGCGCCTATCTCTATGAGCGCCTATCTCTAGGGGCGCCTATCTCTATGGGCGCCTATCTTTAGCGGCGCCTATCTCTAAGGGCGCCTATCTCTAGGGGCGCTCATCTCTATGTGCGCCTATCTCTATGGGCGCCAATCTCTAGAGGCGCCTATCTCTTTGGGCGCCTATCTCTATGGGCGCCTATCTCTAGGGGCGCCTATCTCTAGGGGCGCCTATCTCTATGGGCGCATATCTCTATGGGCGCCTATCTCTAGGGGCGCCTATCTCTATGGGCGTCTATCTCTAGGGGCGCCTATCTCTAGGGGCACATATCTCTATAGGCGCCTATCTCTATGGGCGCCTCTCTTTAGGGGCGCCAATTTCTAGAGGCGCCAATCTCTATGGGCGCCCATCTCTAGGGGCGCCTACCTCTAGGGGCACCTATCTCTAGTGGCGCCTATCTCCAGGGGCGCCTATCTCTAGGGGCGCCTATCTCTAGGGATGCCTATCTCTAGGGGCGGCTATCTCTAGGGGCGCCTATCTCTATGGGCGCCTATCTCTAGGGGCGCCTATCTCTATGGGCGCCTATCTCTTTGGGCGCCTATCTCTATGGGCGCATATCTCTAGGGGCGCCTATCTCTAGGGGCGCCTATCTCTATGGGCGCCTATCTCTATGGGCGCATATCTCTATGGGCGTCTATCTCTACGGGCGCCTATCTCTATGGGCGCCTATCTCTAGGGGCGCCTATCTCTAGTGGCGCCTATCTCTATGGGCGCCTATCTCTAGGGGCGCCTATCTCTATGGGCGCCTATCTCTATGGGCGCCTATCTCTATGGGCGCCTATCTCTATGGGTGCCTATCTCTTTGGGCGCCTATCTGTATGGGCGCCTATCTCTAGGGGCGCCTATCTCTAGGGGCGCCTATCTCTATGGGCGCCTATCTCTATGGGCGCCTATCTCTAGGGGCGCCTATCTCTATGGGCGCCTATCTTTAGCGGCGCCTATCCCTAGGGGCGCCTATCTCTAGTGGCGCCTATCTCTATGGGCGCCTATCTCTAGGGGCGCCTATCTCTATGGGCGTCTATCTCTAGGGGCGCCTATCTCTAGGGGCACATATCTCTATAGGCGCCTATCTCTATGGGCGCCTCTCTTTAGGGGCGCCAATTTCTAGAGGCGCCTATCTCTATGGGCGCCCATCTCTAGGGGCGCCTACCTCTAGGGGCACCTATCTCTAGTGGCGCCTATCTCCAGGGGCGCCTATCTCTAGGGGTGCCTATCTCTAGGGATGCCTATCTCTAGGGGCGGCTATCTCTAGGGGCGCCTATCTCTATGGGCGCCTATCTCTAGGGGCGCCTATCTCTATGGGCGCCTATCTCTTTGGGCGCCTATCTCTATGGGCGCCTATCTCTAGGGGCGCCTATCTCTAGGGGCGCCTATCTCTATGGGCGCCTATCTCTATGGGCGCATATCTCTATGGGCGCCTATCTCTACGGGTGCCTATCTCTATGGGCGCCTATCTCTAGGGGAGCCTATCTCTAGTGGCGCCTATCTCTATGGGCGCCTATCTCTAGGGGCGCCTATCTCTATGGGCGCCTATCTCTATGGGCGCCTATCTCTATGGGCGCCTATCTCTATGGGAGCCTATCTCTTTGGGCACCTATCTCTATGGGCGCCTATCTCTAGGGGTGCCTATCTCTAGGGGCGCCTATCTCTATCGGCGCCCATCTCTATGGGCGCCTATCTCTAGGGGCGCCTATCTCTATGGGCGCCTATCTTTAGCGGCGCCTATCTCTATAGGCGCCTATCTCTAGGGGCGCCTATCTCTAGTGGCGCCTATCTCTATGGGCGCCTATCTCTAGGGGCGCCTATCTCTATGGGCTCCTATCTCTATGGGCGCCTATCTCTATGGGCGCCTATCCCTATGGGTGCCTATCTCTTTGGGCGCCTATCTCTATGGGCGCCTATCTCTAGGGGCGCCTATCTCTATGGGCGTCGATCTCTAGGGGCGCCTATCTCTAGGGGCACATATCTCTATAGGCGCCTATCTCTATGGGCGCCTCTCTTTAGGGGCGCCAATTTCTAGAGGCGCCTATCTCTATGGGCGCCCATCTCTAGGGGCGCCTACCTCTAGGGGCACCTATCTCTAGTGGCGCCTATCTCCAGGGGCGCCTATCTCTAGGGGTGCCTATCTCTAGGGATGCCTATCTCTAGGGGCGGCTATCTCTAGGGGCGCCTATCTCTATGGGCGCCTATCTCTAGGGGCGCCTATCTCTATGGGCGCCTATCTCTTTGGGCGCCTATCTCTATGGGCGCCTATCTCTAGGGGTGCCTATCTCTAGGGGCGCCTATCTCTATGGGCGCCTATCTCTATGGGCGCATATCTCTATGGGCGCCTATCTCTACGGGTGCCTATCTCTATGGGCGCCTATCTCTAGGGGAGCCTATCTCTAGTGGCGCCTATCTCTATGGGCGCCTATCTCTAGGGGCGCCTATCTCTATGGGCGCCTATCTCTATGGGCGCCTATCTCTATGGGCGCCTATCTCTATGGGAGCCTATCTCTTTGGGCACCTATCTCTATGGGCGCCTATCTCTAGGGGTGCCTATCTCTAGGGGCGCCTATCTCTATCGGCGCCCATCTCTATGGGCGCCTATCTCTAGGGGCGCCTATCTCTATGGGCGCCTATCTTTAGCGGCGCCTATCTCTATAGGCGCCTATCTCTAGGGGCGCCTATCTCTAGTGGCGCCTATCTCTATGGGCGCCTATCTCTAGGGGCGCCTATCTCTATGGGCTCCTATCTCTATGGGCGCCTATCTCTATGGGCGCCTATCCCTATGGGTGCCTATCTCTTTGGGCGCCTATCTCTATGGGCGCCTATCTCTATGGGCGCCTATCCCTATGGGTGCCTATCTCTTTGGGCGCCTATCTCTATGGGCGCCTATCTCTAGGGGCGCCTATCTCTATGGGCGCCTATCTTTAGCGGCGCCTATCTCTAGGGGCGCCTATCTCTAGTGGCGCCTATCTCTATGGGCACCTATCTCTAGGGGCGCCTATCTCTATGGGCGCCTATCTCTAGGGGCGCCTATCTCTATGGGCGCCTATCTCTAGGGGCGCCTATCTCTAGGGGCGCCTATCTCTATGGGCGCCTATCTCTATGGGCGCCTATCTCTAGGGGCGCCTATCTCTATGGGCGCCTATCTTTAGCGGCGCCTATCTCTATAGGCGCCTATCTCTAGGGGCGCTTATCTCTATGTGCGCCTATCTCTATGGGCGCCTCTCTTTAGGGGCGCCAATCTCTAGAGGCGCCTATCTCTATGGGCGCCAATCTCTATGGGCGCCTATCTCTATGTGCGCCTATCTCTAGGGGCGCCTATCTCTATGGGCGCCTATCTCTATGGGCGCCTATCTCTAGGGGCGCCTATCTCTATGGGCGCCTATCTCTATGGGCGCCTATCTCTATGGGCGCCTATCTCTACGGGCGCCTATCTCTATGGGCGCCTATCTCTAGGGGCGCCTATCTCTAGTGGCGCCTATCTCTATGGGCGCCTATCTCTAGGGGCGCCT